TAATTAAATTCAACTAGCAGGGAATGAATAAAAAGTGAAGTTTTAAGTCGGGTTTTCCCAAACATTTTTAGACGACAGTGATTTTTGTTTTGGTTGTAGAATGTCGAATGAGTTGTCACAAAATGAGAGCTCAACCTGTCACGCTAGCAGTTTCTTTAGTACACCATGCTGGTTTAAATAAGAACTGATCGTGAGATGTCAAAGACTTGTCAATAGCATGTTAAGCTGAAAAGAGTCATGTGACATCACATGTATCACGACATGTGATTGACACGGGTGCCAATGGAATGTTCAAGAAAGAAAAAAAGGAAATACGTGTAAGAGGAGTATAGGGAGGGTTTTTATCATTCTACTCGCGCCCTTGACAACGAATGTAGGAATTATGTTTGACTTCTTTTATAAGGTTGTGAAGCCTTCAAAAATGTATGAAAAAATTGTCTGCGCTACAGGGGAAAAGTCAGTGATATTTCACTTTCTTGTTTATTTTCTAGTCAGCTTTAAAAAAGAGACAATTGTATGGATATCTTATTAATTCAGGAGGTTAAAATCTGGAGAAAAACAACAACATAATTAGCTTCATGTGTCAAACGGGGAAAGCGTACCTTCTAGTTGGTTCAATTGATCCAATTTCCTTCCATTTTTATGGTATTAAGATAAGAAATTGCAATCTAACAGCCGATCAGTTTGATGGCGTGACCTTTTTCCCCGCCTTTTCACATCCTCGTGCGCCGGTTGAAAAGGAATGATTGTCGAAATCAAATTTAAAATTTCTTAGCAGCTCGTAATAGTTCTAGCGCCAGAGAGAAAATCAACATGGACTTGACAACAGATAAATAAAGCAGGGATCTTGAAAATAATTAAATAAGCAAAGAAATTCGAGAATTGCCGCAATATGTAGGATATCGAACACAAACTTAGCTTCATGTGTCATACAGGGCGGGAAAGCAAAATATTCTCTCGCTCAAAAAACTTTAAATTCGGGAATGATATGAAAATAAACCACTCTAAATTTGCAATGAGTCCCCGAATTTTTTCCAACCTGTAATCTATTTATTTTTTTTTGATCGGTCAGGTTTAAATTTTGTCCGTTCTCTAGATATTTGTAATATTCTTTAAAAGGAAAATATTGTTTCAGTTTTTTAATTCGGTTTCATCAATCGTTAAAAACTGCATGTTTATGTCTCCAAATATTATGTATCCAAAGATACGAGCCGTACGAGCTCGTGCAATTTTGTTGTCTTTGGAAAATTTACTCGTGCTTAATTACAACAAATTGCTCTCGAAATCACGTTATTGCCTATACTATCACGAGTGAAGAATTGCAACACGGGTGCAAAGTTGTAAAACGAGTGCAAATTACCATTAGTGCACGCGCTGTCAAAGTTTGGTCTGTGATGCTTTTTTCATGCAAATCATTTATAGGTAATAACATGATTTCTCGTGTAATTTATGTAAATAAGTACTTTTAAATTTTTCAAGGCTAAAAATTTTGTTGTCTCTAATAGAAAATTAACTAGATCTTATTTACACCAAATTGCACTCGAAATCATGTTATTATCATTCTCTGAACCAGCTCCAAAGCCTTTGTAGTAGTAGACATTTGACAGATCAAATCTAGGAACCATGGAGCATTAAAACCGTTTTGTCCGATCTTACACAATATTGTGTATAATGTCAAGGTTTTCGAAAAAGTCGTCCACAGCTTTTCAGGCTGATAAATTGCACGTGACATAAACACGTGTTGTTTATTTCTATCCACGTTCATCACGTGCACGTGAAAGAGTATGCATCAAATCGACAAAAGGCACACTCACATTTAGTCACTTTTGTAATAAAATTCAACAAGCAGAGGATTTAATAAAAAGTGCAGATTGAATTCTTGGGTTTTGACGACAGTGATTTTTGTTACGACGGTTAAGAATATATGAAGGTCATATTTTTGTTACGGTTGTAGAATGTCGAATGAGTTGTCACAAAATGAGAGCTCCACTTGCACGTAAGTAGTTTCTTTCGTACACTATGCTGGTTTAAATAGGAACTGATCGTGAGATGTCAAAGACTCGTCAATAGCATGTTAAGCTGAAAAGAGTCATGTGACATCACATGTAACACAACATGTTCGTTTTGTTTCGTGTTTATCAAACATTACTGTTGAATCACTTGGATTTAAACTCGATCAACAGGAAATTTGCGATCAATTCATATGTGAAGTAACGGGATTTAACGAAGACACATTGGCTTTTGTTTTGTTTTTGCTTAATTTCAGTAAGTTTGATGCCAAAATTTCCTTGCGACTTGTCACGCAACATTGTGGCGGGCTTAAAAACGACATTTCACTCTCACATTCTGAAGTTAACTCGGGCAATAAATCTTACGAAGCTTATATCGGAATCATTGTGAAGCGATGTTGGTCGATGTAAACCAAAAATTTTTAAACAAGCTATGATAAATTAATTTCGGTACAATTGTTTCTCCATCAACGTCATAATGGCTAAAGTTGCTGGCATCTAAGGGAACCAACCAAAACCGAATCCAGAAATAATTTAAATAGTAATCGTGGTTAGCAAAATATTTCAAAAGTTCAAAATATTATGCAGAAAACATATTTCAAGAAATAAATGAAAATCTAGCGAAACTGACGGGTCAAGAATGAAAAAAAGGAAATACGAGTAAGCAGAGTATAGCGAGGGCTTTTATCAAACTATTCCAGCCCCTGAGAACGAATGTCGGAATTGTATCTGACTTCTTTTATAAGGTTTCGAAGCCTTCAAAAATTTATGAAAAAATGTTCTCTACTACAGCAGAAAAATCGCGATTTTTCACTTCCTTGTTTAATTTCTAGTTCAGCGTTAAAAGAGGGACGATTGTATGAGGTATCTAAATAATTCAGGGGGTGAAGATCTGGAGAGTGACGAACATAAAATTAGCTTCATGTGTCATACGGGGTAGGCGAAATGTTTTCCGTTTTCGCTGAAAAAAAAAAACCTTTGGAAAAAAAATTGAACATAAACCTATTATCTTTACAATGAGAACCCGACTTTAGCCTTAATTGTTTTTCTTTTCTTAGCCGTCAAGGTTTAAATTCTGACCGTTTTCAACATGTTTATATTATGTATTCTTTTTTGAAGAAAGTGTCGCTTCAATTGTTTTCCTTCGGTTTCACCAGTCATAGCATCAAAAAACTAAATACGGCGTGCTCGTGTCTCCAAAAATGCGACATGTACCTTCGAGTTGGTTCAATTACTGCTGACTTACATTTTCCAGCGGCTGCGATTTCAGGATTGGTTTGCGAGAAAAATAGTTTTAATGGTGTGAAAAGGAGTTTCAGGGTGCGCGCGATTTTTCGTTCAAGATATCTTGCAAATGTTTTTTTTCCCACAATTTATTTCCAAGCTTGCGATGTCAGGATAAGTCAAGATAGGAAGATGTAAATTTTGTAATCTCATTTAACTAGCCATTTATAAGAAGACGTCAATTGATGCAAAAAAAGATAATGTTTTGATAAAAGATTGACCTTTGTGTAATCATGTGCTAATAACACTCCGAAGGAATTTTATCGACGATCAAATGCTTCGTTCGCCGATTGAAAACTATTTCGACCAACGATCGAATTGGAAATTTCTTAACAGGTCGTAATAGTTCTTGCGCGACAGACAAAACATCATCGACTTGACAAATAGTGCAGGGATTTTAAATGCGATTATATAGGCAAAAAATTAAAGAATTGCCAAAATATGTAAGATTATTAACACAAAATTAATATTATGTGTTATAGGGAGAGCTGAATAACGAAATTGTCGCTTTTGCTAAAAACCTCGGAAGTGAAATGGGAATAAATTCTTTTAAACCTGCAATGAGTCCTGGAATTTTATTCAACCTGCATTTTGTAGAGGTTCATATTTAGACAGTTCATAAGATGTTTGTAATTTTTTTTTTTGTAGGGAAGATATTCTTATTATTTCACTTTTTTCTTTAGGTTTCATCGCTCGCTAAAACTGCTTGTTTATGTCCTCAAAGATATAAACTGTCCCTTAGCTTATGGTTCTGTGATGATGGTCCCCTGTTTTCATTTTCCAGTTGTGTGATTTGATTCATTCAAGTTCGACAAGTTTTGGAGGATTTTGAGGGTAAGTACTAATTCTGATTTCTTCGGCATAATCTGTTAAGATCCATTTACATTTCACAACATTTATTTTTCCTTTCCTTAACCTGAGTTTTGAGGGTTCTACCAAGACTTAAATGACCATTATGTAGATAATAATACTTTCACAACAATCCCATGATAGCAAGTAAAATTTAAAAATACTAGAAGTGATTAACATTTAATTTATATATTTGCCATGTGCGTTCGATACATCATCCGGTCAAGGGGTGCAGAGAATACAAGGCCTGATCAGTTTGAGAGTGTTCATTACTATTATAAAGGGCAATTTACAACAGCTGAAATCAGGACTTAAAAGTTAAGGGATCAACAAGTACACTCGGTAGTTGTCTCGGATACTAACAGCTTAAATCAAATTCTCCTTAAGGGAATGTTTGTCGATCAGAACCGGAGAGCTTTAGAAGAAATACGTTGCAAAAAAATAGCCTAATAGTAACCTTTACTTGGAAGATAAAAATCGGCCGGTTTTAATTTTTAGCCAGAACTCATCGGTCGTTTCTTAGGCGTGGGGCCTCTTAAAAGCTGACGTTTCGAGCTGTGGGCTTGGGAGATTAAAGTGTTTAGCGACTGGTTTGGATGCGAGAAAAAAGGAAGAAAGAAAAAGATTTGAACCATGATACCTTTGTTTCTGTTGTTGAGTCTATTTCAGAAAAATATCCTCAAGTTAATGTATCAAATTTTCAATGGTTCTAGAAAATCAAATCATTCACTGAAGTATGTGCTGCATTGTACAAAACTGACATGAATATTGGAATCTCGATAATTTTGCAACTCAATGATTTTTCACAATTCTCTTATTTTAGAGAGGATCCTCCAAAACGTACACGAGGGAACCATAATGAACAACAGGGCAGATACCGTAAAAACCCTCCGTATATGTATTTGTGTTGCTACCTTCCTGCAAAATACTAAGCGTCATCTACAAGCAATCGAGTTATGCTGGGAATGTTTGGTTTTGCTAAACAACACAGCATTGGGCATAACAGATCACCTCACTTATAAATTATGCAAGCGTCACATCTATTTGGTAATGTTCAACGCATGCATGGACATCTGTGATTGTACAAACGCAGAAAGATGCGTCAGAAAACTTCTTTCCATGCTCCACGACTCTGGAGAAACAATACTAGAAGGAATCGTAAGGTTTGTACTGGCAGAAATATATTGCAGGCAGAGAAAGTTTGAACAAGCAAAGAAACTTTTTGAGATCGAGGCAGAAAACATGAAAGCAATTGGAGAAAGGAGATGGGAGGCCATTGGTTACAATGCTTTAGGATATGTGTCATTTTCACTTCATGAATATCAGAAGGCTAAAGAGTATTGCGAGAAAGCACTTGCCATCAGTATGGAAATTGGTGACAAAGAAGGAGAAGCTACAGAGTACCAAATCCTAGGAATTTTATTCGAAAAACTCGGTGGATATCAGAAGGCTGAAGAGTTTTTTAAGAAAGCAGTTGCTATCGCCACGGAAATTGGTGACAAGGAAGGAGAAGCAACAAACTACAAAAACTTAGGAGATGTGTACGCATTGCTCGGTGAGTATCAGAAGGCTACAGAATATTACGAGAAAGCGCTCGTCATCAACATGGAAATTGGTGACAAGAAAGGAGAAGCTGTAGGCTACGGAAGCCTAGGAAATGTACTCGCATTACTCGGTGAATATCAGAAAGCTAAAGAGTTTTTCGAGAAAGCAGTTGCTATCGCCACGGAAATTGGTGACAAGGAAGGAGAAGCAACAAACTACAGAGACCTAGGAGATGTGTACAAATTGCTCGGTGAGTGTCAGAAGGCTACAGAATATTACGAGAAAGCGCTCGTCATCAACATGGAAATTGGTGACAAGAAAGGAGAAGCTGAATGCTACGGAAGCCTAGGAAATTTACTCGCATTCCTCGGTGAACTTCAGAAAGCTAAAGAGTGTTACGAGAAAGCAGTTGCCATCGACACGGAAATTGGTTATGAGGGAGGAGAACCAGCATACTACGGAAACTTGGGATATATGTTACGTGTATTCGGTGAATATCACAAGGCTAAAGAATATCTCGAGAAAGCACTTGCCATCAGCATGAAAATTGGTGACAAGAGAGGAGTGGTTAAAAGCTACGGAGGTCTAGGAGATGTATTCGCATCACTCGGTGAATATTACAAGGCTAAAGAATACTACGAGAAAGCACTTGCCATCAACATGGAAATTGGTGACAAGGGAGAAGAAGCAAAAATTTACGCATGCCTAGGAACAGTGTTCAAGTTTTTAGGTAAATTTGTGAATGCTAAAGAATATTTCGAGAAAGCACATCCCATCAACATGGCAATTGGTAACAAGAAAGGAGAAGTAAGAATCTACGAATGCCTAGGATATGTGTTTCTAGTACTCAATGAATATCAGAAGGCTAAAGACTATTTCGAGAAAGCACTCACCATTAGTATAGAAACTGGCGATAAATTGGATCAAGCACATTGTTACTTGCATATTGGACGGGCATTTACCTATCTCAGAAAATATCGGAACGCTAAGGAATATGCAGAGGAAGGACTTTCTATTGCCACAGAAATTGGTGACCGAGAAAGTCAAGTAAACGCTTTTGGTATCCTCGGCTGTGTGTTCGAATGGTTTCATGATCATAAGAAATCCGAAGAGTATTACAAGAAACAACTTGATATTAGCAGTGTAATTGGCAACAGAAGAGCAGTAGCAGCAAGTTACAAAAACCTAGGAGAAGTGTGTCGAAGAACTGGCGAATATGACAGAGCCTATGAATACCTTGAGAGAGCCCGCGTGATAAGCTTCGATATAGCAGACATACATACCGAGGTTTTGACCCTGCTCCAGTTGTCCTTCTTGAGGTTATCGCAATCAAAGACCCAGGAAGCATTTTCGTATCTTCATCAATGCATAACTAAGTATGAAACATTGCGAAATTTTCAGGAAGGAAACGAACAATTTCAACTGGGTCTTTTAGAACAGCTCGGAACTTTTCCCTACAAGAGGCTCAGTTCACTTCTTTGTTCTGTTGGAAATCCTCAAGATGCTATTTATGTCGAGGAGCTTCGACGGTCGAGATGTTTAGCAGACTTGATGGCACAAAACTTTTCTGTTGAAAATCACATCTCAGCTGACCCAAAATCATGGCGTGGGATGGAAGAGATTGTGAGCAAAGAACGTAGCTCTGCATTCCTGTACATTTCGTATGACGATCGAAGGGTTTCTCTTTGGGTTTTGAAAGCAAACGGAGACATTTTATTTCGACAATGCGAAGAAGTCGATAAAAAAACCCTCATGGATGAGAAAGTTTCTGATCTGAATCATTTTTTCAAATTAAGTCTCCACCGCTTTGGCATTTTACCCAAACAGAAATGTGAGGATCGATCTTTGAGTGAAACTATACCGATGTCGCTTCACGATGAAAACGAAGTAGATTTGAGAGGCGAGGACACTAAAGAAACTGAAAGGAGACTTTCTGTGTGTTTCAAGGTGATCATCGTTCCAGTGGCCGATCTACTCACCGATTCGGAAATCATCATTGTTCCCGAACGTAGCTTGTACCGAGTCCCATTTGCAGCCCTACGTGACAAGCCTGGCGGAAAGTGTTTAGCAGAGACTTTCAGGATCCGCATCGTCCCTTCTTTGACGACTCTGAAGCTCATTCAAAACTGCCCAGTGGACTACCACAGTCAGACCGGTGCACTAGTTGTGGGTGATCCTAAGGTAGGCAGAGTGCATTACAGGGGAGAAATCCATAACTTCACATCACTTACCGGCGCAAGAAAGGAAGCAGAGATGATCGGACAACTGCTGGGTGTTCAGCCTTTGTTAGGAGAGCGTGCGACAAGAGAGGCGGTACTTCAAGCAATTAACTCAGTGAGTTTGATTCATATTGCTGCACATGGTAATCCCGACAGAGGCGAGATTGCCCTTTCCCCCAGACCTTGCTCGAACAATATTCCAGAGGAAGAAGACTACCTTTTGAGGATTTCCGATATTTCAAAAGTTAAGCTGCGAGCTAAACTGGTGGTACTCAGCTGTTGTCACAGTGGACGTGGAGAGATCAAAGTCGAGGGCGTCATTGGAATCGCTCGAGCGTTTTTGGCATCCGGTGCACGTTCTGTGTTGGTGACACTGTGGGCCATAGAGGACGAAGCAACAGAGCAGTTCATGAGACGTTTCTACAAACACCTTGTTGACGGACTTAGTGCCAGTGAATGTCTTCACCAGGCCATGAAATGGCTGAGGATCATCGGCTTTAGCAAAGTTTCTCAGTGGGCTCCGTTCATGTTGATTGGAGATAACGTGACATTTGACTTTACAAAACAAAGGTTAGTTCTATTCCAGAGAATAAAGTGATACAACAAACAATTCACTACCTACAGTAGTCGGTTCCAGTCGAGATAACAAGAACTAGTGTATAGACACGTATGCTTTTATCCTTAAAATGTTGAAAGTTCCTTTGTGGATGCAGTCAAATATAGCTTTTTAAGAGTTCCAAATCACATTTAAGAAAATCGAGTTAACAGTTATTCTCTATGTTTGATAGAAGCGTTGAAAACATTCCAAATGACAAATTTAGGTGTTCGTCCGCAGCCGATGGTTTAAAGACCCTCTTAAACCGGGTCAGTCAGTTGTTGTGGCGACCATGATGATGATGATGACGATGATGATGATGACGATGATGATGATGACGATGATGATGATGATGATGATGATGATGATGATGATGATGACAATTTTTAGATACTTGTATATGATTTTATATTATCTTTATTAATAATTGTTTTTTAATGTCTTTTTATTGTTTTTTTTTTGTTTCAGGAAAGAAGAATCTGACTGCAAGGAACAAGAATGAAGCCTCCAAGTAACAGTCAGCAAAGCATTTTATTATTCTCGGACTCTCATATCTTTGTTCATAGTCTAATGAAGTATCATAAGAAAATTTCTATGCCCATAATCGACAGCAAAGATTGTTTGGGAGTTTTTCTATTCATGGACAGTTTAAAATGGGTATACAGAGTATATATAGTCCCCAAACATGAATTTCGAGAGGAAATGGAATGTTTCTTTACATGGAATGTCTTGCCTTAAGAAAAGACAGTAGTAAAGCCACTCCGCCTGCAGTGGTTACATAGTTTTACTTATGTAATTTGAATAACTGGTATTTTTCTCATCAATAGTGGAAAATCGGATGCATTTTTTGTCAAAGATTCTCGCTACTCGAACTTCGTTCGATGAAAGTAAAAAAACAAGCCTTCTTAAGGTCAGCTGTTTAAAAGTCATCCCGGTATAAGTTAAACAGACTCGTGTACATACCGAGAAAAGACAGAGAAGTTGGATATTTTAGTTTAGTTTTAACCGGGGTCGATAATGCACTTCAATTTTGTCAAACTGACAAGGTTCTTGCTAATTGAATTACTTTTGGTAAAAAATGAGAAAAACTATTAAAGGTTTTATTGGTTAAATGTAAAAAAAGTCGACCCTAGCAGTCTCGTGTACAGATCGAGACAAGACAGTGAAGTTGGACATTTTAGTTTAAGGTTTAACAGGGGTCACGAATGTAAGAGACACATATTATGATATTATATTTTGCGTGTATTACTTGAATTAATTTTGGTGAAAATGAGGGAAACTATTGAAGGTTTTACCGGTTAAATGTAAAAAAAGTCGACCCTAGCAGTCTCGTGTCCAGATCAAGACAAAACAGAAAAGTTGAACATTTTAGTTTAAGGTTTAACTGGGGTCACGAATGTAAGAAACACATATGATTCTTATTTAGCGTGAGTTATTCTGCAGGAAAACTGATCCTTTGAATTTAATTTTTGTATTGTGTATAAGTAACGTGGATAAAATGTTTAAATTGATTTATTTAGTTTTCGAATAAAATAAAAGCAGAATTTCGGTAAACTAAAATGTCTCACTTTTTCGCTTTCACAGCTACTCGACCAGCTTTGTAGTCTCCTTTATACTCTGTTGGCGACGACTGATCCTCTCTTCAATCCCCCTGAAACCCAAAAATCCCTGAAAAAATCTGCCCCCCCCAAAAGTCCTCCATCCCACCCTTCCCAGGCGATAAATAAAGACTGTAGACCCCTTTATACTCTATTGGCTACGACTGATATTCCCTTCAATCCCTCTAAAAACCATATGACCCCAAAAATCCTCTGTCCCACCCCTCTCAGGCGATAAATAAAGACTGTAATCCCCTTTATACTCTGTTGGCGACGGCTGTGTCCTCCCTCCCACCCCTCCCAGGCGATAAATAAAGACTGTAGTCCCCTTTGTACACTATTGGCGATGACTGATCTTTCCTTCCTCCCTTCATTCCCCCTAAAAACGATGTGACCCCCCCCCCAAAAAAAATCCCCGTTCCCCTCCCTCCCAGGCGATAAATAAAACTGGTCTTTTAGTAGAATTAACGATATGTTCACTTCCTCTTTGGCTGAACCATTTTGAATGAGTAATATGGATGGTTTACATAGAAGTCTTCGGTTAAAGATGCTTCCGGCTTTTCGAGGATTTCGAGGGCTTTCAGCTCCTTCTTAAAACTCATTCGTGAGTTAGTTTACAAACCTACTCGTGACGCAAACTGTTCCCTTTCGCGTTGCATTCTGGGTTTAATCTTATGTAAAACGCTTTCAGTGTCAGCGGAAAGTACACGTAGGATTCTGTTTGTCTGTCTAGTCCCTCTCGGTGGAAAGTAAGCCAAGAGAATATCAATTAGATATTCCCTTAAGTAAGCCTAGTTGTGCACGATTGGTTGGGGTGACACAAGAACGAGACATTTGAGGAAAAGCACGACTTCTTGGGAAAATGAAAAATTTAACCCTCTTCTCTACTCCTTTCAGTCATTTAAGATGTTTAAAATCCAAAGTTCTGTATTCCGACGGACAAAATATCTTGCTTCAGCGCTGATTCAAGAATAATACGAAAAGTGAGTTAAATACACGTTTACTCTCGCCATCGGCATTTAATTATTTTACCTTCTTTGTTATAAACATAGATAATCGCATGGGGCCGAGTAAAATTCATGATTATTAGTATAATTTTTATACTTAAACAGTGGATAGCGTTAGAGGTGCGCACTGATTGGCTACTCAAAGTCCAAATATCTCTTGTTAATATGTATACTAAAACAGTAGATAGCTTTGAAAGTGCGCGCTGATTGGATACTCAAACTTTGGATATCGTTTACAATTCACATCCGAGCAACGCGTGCGGGATTTGCGCCCATATATATCGTGATCGTTCCAGGAACAATCAAGTTGAAATCGTTTTTTTTTCTCTCGCTATACCGTCTCTCTGTTTTATTAGATGCTAAAACAACTATTAACCACACTGCCACAGGCTAGCGGTGGATATTTACCTCGCCGCTTCGTGGCTCAGTAAATATCCACCATTAGCCACCCCTTCGAAAAACTTGCGCGGGATTTGCGCCCGAAAAATTTTGCAATCGTTGCAGGAATAAATCATCTTTTGTGCTATTATCTCACCGCTTTAGTAGATACTAAAACAACTGTTCACCTCGGTGTCGGTGGCTGGTAGTGGCTTCGCGACTCGATAAATATCCAACATTACTCACCTCCACTTCAGTAAATGGTTGTGTAATATCACGTGTTTTCAGAAGTTGCAGTAATGCCGTATTTCCTGGAATAAGCGTCTGAGCGCTTATTTAAAATTTCGACTTAAATCGGGGGCGCCTATTGAAGGAGGGCGCTTAATTTAGGATGGTCCTTGTTAATTTAGCGTAGCAATAGGCCAAAAAAAAATATATTAGTTAACACACATTCAGGAACCCTGCAAGCATATGGATATAGAAATACCTGGAACGGAAAAAGAAACTAGTCTCCCGTACTTATTCCGTTGTAATTAAAGCTCAAAAAAATGATCAATTAAGTGGCAATCTGTGTTCCTAATATCCCTACTATTAAAAAAAGTGACGAAGGAGGGTTGGGCCGGTTATTCGAGGGGGGAAGGGGCGCGCTTGTTCGAAGTTAAGGCCTGTGGGGTGGGCGCTTATTCGGGGGAGGACTCCTATAAAAACGTATGCGCTTATTGTATGTAATCGCATGGGCCCGAGGGCAATGGAGGATTAATTTCACTTGCATTTTCAAACTTTTACCAAAATTTGAATGTTGGGAAAAAATTTAAAAATCGCAAGAGCCCGAGGGCACTTACAATTTCCTGTTCACAAAAATTTAGGGCAAAATTTTTAAGGGAATTGCATTCGCACTCGATGTCCGCGAGATGAAGCCCTTTCAATGCCGCCACAAATGTGAAAACAAACGTAACTGACCAATACAGTTAATAACGTTACACAGCTTCATTCAATTAAAATGCAATCAATAAATCGTTGCCGCAAACAGCAAAAAGTCTCAGTAAGCATCAAGTAATCATGCCCTCTTGATTGTCAAAAGTGCCCTCTTAATTAAGAAAAAATGTCCTCTGCCTCAAGAAATCAATACTCAGAGTAATACTCAGTAATTTTGCCCGGCATGTGATGGAAGTCGCGCTTTGGACTGGGGGAGAGTCTGGTCGAGACAAAATGGGAACTAGTTGAGTGAACTCATAATGGCGGCTTCGAGGTTATAACAACGAAGTCGTAAATGTATACTTTGTTGTTGTCCGAGAAGATTAAGAACTCTTTTAAAGACTTGTTAACTTATGTGCTTTGTATTATTTGAGAGTGACTTCATCGTTGAATTGAAAATATGAGTGATATTCGAGATATTTTAGAGTTGGATCAAGGACTTGCTTCTGTTCCCACCAAAGAAGCTATTGTCGGGGGAAACAAGGTAAATTTGTTCTTTCTTTTGATATTTTTTTACGAGTTTTCTTACTTTCTGCATTGATGATATAAGTCATGTTTACAGTCACACCGTGTGTGATTAAGCTTGCTGTAAAACCAGTTTGAGATCTTCATGTGAGATATTTTTAAGTTGGCACTATACTCGAAGTGCGACGCCTGTTGAGCCGGGAATTGAGCAGCACTTGTCCCTAAGGATGTACTTGTAGTTATGTGCCGCCAGGAAAGAGGGGTAATTATTTTTTAAACAGATTTTCTTGAATTCTTGCTTTTGTCACCTTGATGGGAAGTATCATGCATAATTTTTATGATCGTGAAAGGATTTCAGGCATCACATGAGGAAAGTCCTTGTTTTCATTCAAACTGAAATGGCTTGCAAATTTTTCTTTAAGTTTACTTTAATCTGATTTTGGATGTGCAATTTACTGTAATAATCTTGACCATTTAACGGAAGAGGAGCTTACTCTTTCATGCTGAGACATTTTACAGGATATTTTTTTAAACAATGCTCCTAATCAACATCTTTTGTTTTTCATTGGAATGTAATTTTCACATATTGAACTAAAAGCTTATTCTGTGATTTTTAAGTCTTTTTGTTAATTTTTGAGATAAATGCATTTTCAGATAATTCACTAATAACCTTGTTCAAAAGTTAATTCAGCTAACAAATCAGACATTTGAATTTGAAAAAAAAATGATTGAAAAATCAAATGAGGAGGATGTTGAAAAAATTTGAAAAATCTCACAATGGCCGACATTTAGGTAGTTCAATACCACTTGTAAAAACAGCTCAAACAACAAAAATACTGTAAAAAGCATGTTTTGGGTGAAAATTTAAAAAAAGGTTGCAGAGTATTACCAAGGAAATAGAAAATTATGAGCCAACCTAGCTTAACACTTTGCTTGAGTGATCCAACACCAAAATTAAAAACAAACATGGTTAAACTTCGGAAATGATGATTCCATTTCATCGAAAGTGATTGGGACACAGACTGAACAATTCCTGGAACTGTTTAGCTGGACTTAGAACTTTTTTAAGCGTTAAAGATGTGAAGATATCATTGCACATTATTGTTTTGATTGTATGTGGTTGTTTTGACTGAATGCACAGTTTGAATAAATTATTTTGGCACTTGATGCATGGGCTTTGTTTATGCTCAATTATGATAAGCTATCTCATATTTTTCATGTTTATTATTAACACATAATCACAAAATTTTTCTCGTGCAATTTGGAATAAATAAGCACTTGTTAATTTTTTCAAAGACCACAAATTGCACTCACCCTATAGGCTTTGTACAATTTTGTTAGTCTCTAAAAAAATTTACTTGTGCTTATGTATTCCAAATTGCGCTCAAAATCATGTGATTACCTATACGAATGAAAATGCTAATTTTTCTTTTGTGATACCCTAAAACAGGGTTTTCATAAAAAGGAGGATATGTGTAGATCTTGTTCAAGATGTGTGTTGGTTAGGGTTTGGTACAGAGGTGTTACAGTCAATATACATATACTCTTCCTGATTGTATTGTAATTTGATAACAGAGGTAACTTTCTACACCTTTTAAAGTAACCAGTTAAGTTTGCTATCTGGTGGCTTGTTTCAGAAACTTCATTAATCCTCAATAGGCTTGTTTCTTTGGTACATGTAAGTTTTCATGTCACAGCATTTCTCCTCAGCCAAGAAATTCATCTACCGTAATTTTTGGCTGATTACCTGTGGGTAATCTGTTAGTTTTTCCACAAACAGTTGTTGGTGTGGGTTATAGGAAGATGTGAGTAATACAATAATTTTTAAAGCTTCTGGTATAGTTCTAAAACTATAAGCAAGAAAAAAACAGAGATGATAACATCCACTTGAGATACTCTTAAAAAAAACCTGTGTAATAACTCATTTATTTTGTGCAGATTGCTCACTGTAGTGAGAGACTTATATTCTCTTGATGAAAGCCGATGCAAATCAAAAACATACAAAACTCAATAAGCTTTTCTCTTGTTCATACTCTCGCTATGTTACCTTGTCAATTTCACAGCTTTTTTCTTTGTGTAGTTCAACAAATTCTCAACAAATTAAAAGAATTTTTTGAAAAAGCTGGCTTCAGACAATTCAGGTAATGAACTTTTGAAAATAAAATGGTGTGACATAATTTAATTCAGTGAAAAAGCTGACACTGCCTTGAGTTAAAGAGCAATTCCATTTCACACTCAAAATATCAATTTTCTTTGGAACATTTTCATTCTCATTCTCAATGAAACAGCAAAGACAAAAAGTGTGGGTTATTTGCCAGTGCGGGTACTCTGTTGAAATTTTTTTCTTGCCATTGCAAAAATTGACTAATGTGGTAATGCTTTTTGGAAATTTCTTTTCATTTGGTGGCAGTAACTCATCAAAGTAATTTGGTTCTGGAACATTCTGCTATGACTTAGATGTTTAAGAAATACACAGTTCTTGAAGTATATTAGTCAGTGAATGACACAAGGAGACTCAGAGAAAAAGAACTCAACTCCGAGTACTCACAATGTACAACCTTCCCAATTTAGTTCTTTGAATGCTTTACCACTGAGCAAAAGGAGTGACCAAGACAGAATTTCTCCTTACACTATCAGTATAACATCAAGCAGACAAGTGATGAGAATAAAGAAAAATATCAATAAGGGGATTATTGGTTAATTCAATTCCAAATTCTCCAAACTAACATCATATGAATTGTATGACGGACAGTGAGGAAAATTACTGATGAGAGCTTGGGAGTTAAAGGGTTCTACTGTAGTTTAGGTCCATGAAGACAAACTTCCTGCATGCTGCAAGGATAAGAATGTCAGTATGGGATGCTTATGTGTAATGATGATGTTCAATGTTTATCATGTACATGTTAAGGAGGATGGTGAATTTTAAACATGGTGCTTTCTTCTTCTGTATTTTAACGGTGATGCAGCCAAGAAAACTGAGAAGAACTGGGGAGCAAAGTTACAAACGTCCTGAGGGAATGCATCGTGAACTTTATGCCTTGCTATACAGTGACAGTAGGTCAGTGGAAATTTGTTTTGATGGAGTTATAGTATGAAATACATCTCTATTGTAATAATTGAAAGTATGTTGCCATAGATACATGTATTCTAATGAATTTCAATGAAGAATGGTGTTCATAATGTGAAAAACCATCTTGGCTGAAAGGTAATTTTGTTTTATCAACTGAGTTGATTATGTAAATTGGCCACTGTAAAGATTTTGCTAAAGCTGATGTTTCAAGCATTAGCCCCTAATTAGAGTGAATGGAGGAATTGTGGGTTATATGTTGTTTATAAGCAGAAAGAAGCAACACTGTATGTGAATGCCATTGGTGACAACATGCTAAGGTGAAAAGCAGGATTAAATTAGTTTAATGAAAAGTGTTGGTTGACATGGTGTGGATTAAGAATGTTAAATCTTTACTCTATCTTACTGAGATTACGCAAGCAGAACTGTGCTTGTGATTAACAAATCAGACTCCCACTTTGTAGTCATACGATGTTGTTAATCACTCTATGATTACAGACTGAATTGGACTCCACTCAGTCCTAATACCATTGTTAAATATTTTGTTTTGTAATTATTTAGAGACTCTCCACCACTGGCTTCATCAGACACTTCTCATGGCTATAAGCAGATGAAAGCCAAGTTAGGACGTAGGCATGTGAGGCCATGGAAGTGGGTGCCTTTCACTAACCCTGCTCGCACAGATGGAGCAGTACTTTACCATTGGAGAAGGGTGGCTGATGAAGGAAAAGAATATCCATTTGCCAGGTTTAATAAGGTGAGGTTTTATCGGTAGGAATTGTCTCTGAAAAGTCAGGAATTTTGATTGAGTTGTTCTAAGGTTGCAAGTTTACTTTCTGAGTGTGTTTTTTTTTGCACATTTTTGTTCAGACAAGATCATATTTGTACAGTACATGTGTGATAAAGATATGTGGTCTAAAGGATTTTTTCTTTTTCTTAATGACACTGTTGATTATTTTATACATTTACACCAATTTTTAATGGTGTAAATGTATAATAATGCCTGCTTCTGAGAGATTTTCATAAAAATTAATGTTTGGATGAGAAGCAACTCTTCAAGGGAAAATTTAAAATTTTGAGAGAGATCATTTAGAAAACAGTATGATCCACTGACGTAACATCAAGGCACAGGGAGATTTTTTTTTTTTTTATATAACCCTCCCATTAATTTTCGTACTGTGCTTTAACAAATTTTGTTGACTGTTTTGTACTTTCCAGAGCAGCATTAAAGATCAGCTTTTTATGTCATTATCACTTGGCTATGCCAACATATTTGTTTTTTCTTCTATGTAAAGAAAATAAAAATGAAAAACTGAAACTATTGAGCTTGCTTTTTACTGCTGGCTTTGTTTCTTTTTTAAGAAAATAATTGGTGGTCAAATATCATTGTTAAAACAGGGATTTTGCACCACATGACGTAACGTAGCCAATAGAATCTCGCAAAAATTATAGGGTGGATTATAATCATCATGTTGACATCTAGAGACAATGTTTTTCTCTAAATATTTTTTAAATATTAAATGTTAAAATACTTTGTTTATTCTTTAAAATGAGCAGAAGGTGAATGTTCCAAGCTATACAGATGAAGAGTACCAGGTAATCTCTATCAAAATTATATGTACATTTACAAATTCGTAAAAAAGAGGGGTCAATTTTATTGTTTGTGAGGCTTGTTGTTATTACCAGTTTGGGTAAAGAATACAAATGAATGTAGTTATTCACTGTGTTTTGCAGTGAAACAGAAAAAAATATATACAAAAAGAAGTATAAAATTGGCTTAATAGCAACTATCTCCTTTTTACCTCGTGGATGTGTGAAGCAGAGGATTAAGTTGTAATATGTGAGGTCCAATATGCAAATTTTATTGTATCAGCACAGTTTTAGGACTCTGGGGAGAGCGTGTATCTCAGAAAATATGAGGTACAACTGTAAAATGTAGCCTAGTGTGTCTTTTAGACTAGGCATAAAACATGATGTAAGGCCTTGCATTTAGTTATTGTGGTTGTCTGAGACATACTGTTTAAAGTTTTTAGGCAAATCGTGAAAAATGTAAAAATGTGTAATGGATTACTATAATTGTTTGTTTAATTTCTTCTTTACAGCTGTACCTTCATGATGGACCTCCTTCTACCTGGACACGAGAGGAAACTGATCACTTGTTTGACCTGTGCAGGTAATAGACATGTAAAACCATTTCATAAGTCAGGCCTGAGAACAGTACAAAACTGAGACACTTCCTCTTGTATCACATCAGCGATAAGTTTTGCTATTTCTGGCGGCACTGAAAGGGCTATATCATGTGGACATTGGGCCCAAATGCAATTCCCTCGAAAAAGTCGTTGTTTATACAATGAAAAAATTAATTGCAAGTGCCCTCCACGGGCAATTAAGGGTTAATTTCACTTGTTTTTTCAGAGTTTTCCCAAAATTGCCCTTGTTACTTCTATACAATTTATGTGAAATGTATTCCTTAACTCGTTAGACCCTAAGAGTGACCAGCATCTAATTTCTCCTTATAGTAATACTGCTAAATCATTCATTAAGATCATGCGAATAAAGGAAATGATCACCAACACAAGAAGCTTTGATCTTCAAATAAATTCTCCTTGTCAGTACCAAAAGAAATAGATAGAGAAGAGTATGGAGAATGTGGATACTGATGTTAGGGTGTAAAGGGCGAATTACCCTTGGGGCCATGTGATCACATATACAAAACAAAGAGATTACATTTTGCCATGTGTTTGTACAGTTATTGTTGATCGCTGTAGACATCAAAAATGTGGTAAAAAGCATTGACACACTTTGCTGCCCCATGTATGCCATTTTGTTGTTCTCATCACATTTTGATGTTGTCTTTGAATACATGTACAGTAGTACAAATCATATTTATGCTCCTGTTTTCTTTGCAGACGGTTTGATCTACGATTTATAACAATTCATGATAGGTTTGACAGAGAAAAGTATCAGGTAATCAGAAGAAATCTCATAATATTTGCATGTGTGGTTTTCTCGGGCCAATTGTGGATGAGAATACAAATTAAAATTTCCTTTTTTTTCAATTTTCAATTTTTATTTTTAAAATTGTGAATTTTTTCATAGCATAAAGTGTGGGCTTATGTTTCTTTGTTTCTCATCTCTCCAATAATTTAAACAAATTAACTGAACACCTTACATGAACAGTATTATGCTATTTACCTTCAAGAGTTTACTGATTGTTTGTGTTGTTGTAGACTCGCACCATTGAAGAGTTAAAGGATCGCTATTATAGCTGTGTTACAAGGTTACTCAAGGTATGTTAAATAGCTGCTTGTCTTAAAGGTTGCTATGTCAGTAAGATATCCTACAGTGTATCTTCTCTCCACCTCACTTAAACCCTCTGCACCCAAGGTCAGTATACATATTCTCCATACTGTTCTCTGAACAAATTTCAAGATGCTTTCAAGGAGAATTTGTCTCACAATCAAGAGCTTCCTTAGTTGGTGATTATTTATTGCATTCAATGAAGGAGAAGGCATGCTAATCGTGTCATTTTTAGGGAAATCATTCTTGAGGGTTTTATTGACCAGTCCCTAGGGGATCAATCGTGATGCCATGCGATTTCAGGCATTGGGCGCCAGTTAGGACTGGCTGGCTGTGTGGCTCAAATAGCTTCGATCTCATTTGCAAATGTTTTCTTGGCCGCCTTGAGCTGAAAACACCAATTTTTTTTCTGTGCAATCAGTACATTAAAAAAATCTCTTATTAGAGATTGCACACACTTTACTAATCTTTGATTATTACTAGTTTTATCCAATGACCTTTGTGCGTGATTCAAGGGTGATATTTTAAGGAGAAAATAAATGCTCTTTGGGGTTAAAGGGTTTACCCTCATTGGCTTTACCTTACAAGCTAGATATGTAGGTTCCTTACAATCTACACTGGCTGACATATGATTCAAGTGATATTAATTAAATTAAATGTATACCTTTTTAAGAATTCACTTGTCATTTAATCCCGCCTTTCTTTAGATTTCTGAAATTGATTTGAATGCTTCAGAACAAATTTTTTTAATGAGTGATTTCTAAACAAGGTTTCCTTTTAAAACTGACTAAAGCCCTTTTGTTACCATTTAACTGCTAAGAGTGATTGGTTTCTAATTTCTCCTTATAGAGTCATCCTTGAATTAAGCTTTAAGGTTATGAGAAACAAAATGATCACTAAGTTAAGAAGCTCTTGATTGTCAAACAAATTCTTCTTGTCAGTGCTTTAGGAAATGTTGAGGAAACAGTGGGGGAACATGAATACTAAATTGTGTAGGTTGTAAAGGGTGAATATAATTGAAGTTGCATTGAATTCAGGAATGAAACACTTATTAATTGAAATAAGACAGATGGTAAATATTAAGCTTGGTCATGAAAGAAAGAAAGAAAGAAAGATTTAAGTTGTCTGGACACAATGGTGCAAAAAAAATTTTGTTTTCCACAGGCTAGAGCCCCCCCTGGACAAGAACCACAGAACTTGCCAGCACGTTATGATGGTCAGCATGAAACAGAGAGAAAGAAACAGCTTTTGAAGTTGTTTAACCGTACACAAGAACAGGTACAGGCCTCTGCCTATGAACTTTGGTACATGTAAAAATGATTGAGCTTCGTGTAACAACAGTACCTTAAAAACCAGATAAAGAAAAAAAAGACAGGTGTGCACACTTTTAGGATCTTATTAGCAATTCCCTTTACTGTCTGCTTTAAAAATTCTTATGCTTGTAGTTTGGTGAATTTGGTATTGGATCAATTAATACTCTAATTGATATTTTTTGAAATTCTTTTCTGCTTGATATTGAATTGATAAATTGCTGTAAGGAGAATTTCTGATAACTCATGGGTGTTTGAGGGTTAATGATGGAACTGAGAAGAGTGTTTTTTTGGAGTTATCAGACTTATTTTGTATAATCTCCTTCACTTAATCTTTTAACTCTCTAACTCCTAAGATCTCATTTGTAATTCTCCTTATTGTCTACGATCCGGTTCTTGTGATGTTAGTTTGAAGAATTTGGTACTGGATCAACTAATAATCTCCTGATTGATATTTTTCTTTTTTCTCATCACTTTTCTGCTTGATATTGTATTGATATTGTAAGGAGAAATTCTGTCTTGGTCACCCTGGGGAGTTAAAAGGTTAAGGTGCAATAGGAAGAAATGATCTTGGATCTTATTTCTAACTCTCCTTACTGTATTGGATCAACCAAGAATCCCCTTATTGATATTTTTCTGAATTCTCATCACTTGTCTGCTTGATATTCTATTGATAATTGGTATTGTTGGAGTTAAAAGGTTTAAATCAAGGAACTGAGGAGAGTTTTTTTATTGAAGTTTTCATACTTATTTTGTATTATCTTCTGAACTTAATCTTTTCAGGTACAAGAGGAAGAAATGCTTGTGGCAGAATTGAGAAAAATTGAAATGCGTAAGAAAGAGAGGGAAAAGAAACAGCAGGATTTACAGAAACTCATCACAGCTGCTGAGAATCAAACAGACTCATACAGACTGAAGTAAGTGTATAAGTGCCTGTCTGGCCTGTTTACTCTCATTGGGCGCTAACATATTTCTCAGTTTTACTGTAGCAATGAGAACTTACAGTTTACTTTGTTCTTGCCAGAAAATGAAACTCATAAAGATTGATCAACAGTTATGACTGAATGTGGAACCTCTCTTTCACTCAGGCTGACATGAAACAGTTGACAATGGGGACTTTCAAAGTATAGTGTGATTCATCTTATTATTTTCTTCACCAGAAGAGACAAGAAACAAGTTAAAAAGAAGCAAACTAAGAAGAAGGGGGAACTAGGTGACAAACCAGTCAAGGTAAAAAGATTGATTAAAGGATTTAAGTCACTGTTTTTGCAGCAAGTAAAATGCAGTCTTTTTTCATGTACTGTATGTACATGTAATTTCTCCATTTTTAAATGGAGAATTGAAATTCTTGGCCACTCAAAATAGAGCCTCATTCCAGCTTGGTTTATTATTTTTTTAGTGAGCATTTTTCCTTTGTTTATGTTTTGTTTATTTTTGTTCTGACGATTATTAAAGGGTGCCTCCACCATTTGCTGTGCCTCTCAGGGCATCTTAGGTCAATTCAGAGCTTCCCTTTTGTATTTCTTTGCACAAGGGAGGCCCAGTTACACTAAAAACCTGATGAAAGACATCTATCCACATGTATCATGTTGTTAATTTTCCTAGGCTGAACCATCAGGAGTCAAGTTTCCAGAGAGTAAAGGAGCTGGTGTGTATCTGCGCAGTGCAAGGGTAAGAATGGCAAAATCCATCATAAGTCAACTTTGAGTGATTGGCATTTAATTTCTCCTTTCAACATCACTCCTAAATCAAACAGTAAGGTTAGGAGAATACAGGAAATGATCACCACTAAGGTAGCTACCAATAATTATTAAAAAAATTCTCCTTTTCAGCACCTTATGAAATCATAACTGAGTTGATAATGTAAATTAGCCATTGTAAAGGGGTTTATAAAGCTGAAGTTTTGGGTGTTGGCCTTCATCATTTGCCTTGCTGAAGGCTAACGCTCAAAAGATCAGTTTTAAAAACTCTCTACGGTGGCCAATTTATGTTAGGAACTCAGTAGATTTAACCAAATTATCTCGTTATACCCCAACCAACACAGCACCACAGTCTCTGTGGTAACTTGCATTGTACTCCCTTCATATATTTTAAGTTCTGTTTGTTTTTTTTCTTGACAATTCTTAGATGAAGATGCCAGGATCAGTTGGAATCAAGAAAGCTAAGGCAGTTGAGCAACTCCTCGAGGAGTTAGGAGTTGGTAGGTGAAACAGAAAAACTGATTGTGATTCGTTATTTATTTATTAATTTTTTTCACTAATATATGTTCTCCACTGCTTAATTATCGTTTAACAATGATTCGTAAAAATTAATAAGCAATGAGTTCGATCGTTTCCTTTTGAGTGAGAGAAAAATTGTTTCATTTTGTGTGTGGGGGCAAAGGTTTCTTTTTGGGGATTTATGAAAAAGAAATCCATGATCATGCAAAAACTCTTTTCCCTTTTTTTAATTGGGGGTTGGGGGAAGGTGTTGAGGAGAGAATATTACCAATCACATATTTCAGCTGTAGTTATTTCTGCGCCACCTTTCCCAAGACAGTGAGCTAAATATTGCAAAGATTTAGGAAAAACATTTAACAGTTTAGTCATCAATTGCCAAATTCTGTAGAATGATAGGTGAGACTCAGTTTCAGATAAATTGCCCAATTGATTCTGGATATTTATCTTTACCAGATCTCATGCCGATGCCAACTGAACACATCAGCCATCAATTTAATGAACTGAGGTAAATCGTGAACATGTAGTTTTATTATCATTTTGCCGCAGTTAATATTTGGAGTCAGTTTTTTTGGTAAATGTAGGGAAATTTATCAAAATGACAGTATCCTTATCTTGAATGTGATCACACCAAACAAAAACTCGCCTCACAGGACGGTTAACCGATCAGGACTTTCAGAGATAGGCCTCGTGGTCTGACTATAGTTAAACGGTAAAGCGAAAGTTTTTAGTGATGAAAGATTAGCTTATGTAATGATATTCTGTACATTGTTGTATTATGATTGAATATGATTTTTTATTGTAATAGTGTAGTTTGATCGTCCAGGTGAATGTACAGTAGTCCTGAGAAGGGCTGTTGTCGTTAGTGGTGACTGACGTTTCGACAACTTGGGCGGGAGTCATCATCCGAGTCAAGTGAATAGTTGTTGTCAGTCGAATGTTTCTAGTCCGATTTGTATAAACTGATTGGTCAGTTTTGCCGTGATATTATTGGCTGTAAGAATCAATCAATCAATCAATTCTCAGGATTGCACTCACCCGGAAGATCAAACTATGCTATTACACGTTACCCTCGGGTTCAAACCATTTACTTTATGACTGTTTATTATTGCATTTTACCTGAAAAGAAATGAGATGATTCTGCTGTATGATTTGAAGCAAGCTGCTGGAAACTGTGAATTTGAAATCCAGTCTTTGAAGTAAGTTATTAACCATAGTGACGTTTGAAGCCTTAGCCTAATCGTCAGAGCGAGTGGCCCAGAGCTAACGCTCATAACGTCAACCTTAGAATCTCTTTACGGTGGCCAATTGACATAATCAACTCAAGTGATAAAACCAAATGATCTTGTATGATAACGTACCCATTAATTTTTTACGCGATTTTCTTGGCTACTTTACGTCACATGGTGCAAAATCGGTCAGTTGTCACCGGACAGTTATCGCTCAATAACCTTTGTCTGCTTCGATATTTGCCCTTCGATTATTTCCGTCGAAAAAAGACAAATTTAGTGCTCATAAGTTTCCACTTTTCGCCTCTATTATTTTACACGGAAGAAAAAAAGACTCGCCTCGTAGAGTCTAGTGATATTGACATAATAAATCCATCATTGGCCGTGAACAGAGCAACACCGGTTTTTTTTACAAGCGGTCTTTTTTACAAGCGGCCTCGCGCGATATGTAAATCAAACGGAGGGTTATAAAATAAATAACCTTCCTTCGAGCGTGCTGGTTTGTCCGCTGATAATGTCCTTGGGAGAGAGTGTCTTCAAAATTTCACATTTGCCCTCGAAGTTTCGCTTCTCGGCCACATATTCATTTTTGGGACAATCTCTCAGCCGCGGACATAATCCGCCAACATACAAGCTGATTCTATGGCTTAAATGCATGTAAATTGAGGACTTTTTGTAAGTGAATTGCTTATACAACCCATGTACCTTACTGTGTTTCTGTAGGTCCTTTTCAAAATTTCCTAAATTTGAATCATGCAAGAAAAGGAAAAAAAAAACAATTTTATCTCTTGCCTATGTTGTGATAATCATTTGAAGTATCTTAAGTACCTTTTGTTTTATGATAGACATCGCCTGGAAGCATTGGGAAAAGACATATCTACCATAAACGGTATCCAGTCATAATGTTACCATTATTGATATCTGTTACTTTATCTTGCAATGTTTTTTAAAGAAAGATTGTATCTTGTATTACGGTTCTTATTCTGTATTTCTATTTTTGTTAGTTCCTGTGGAAGCTGTCACTGTTGTTCCTAAAGTGGTGGGTATTTTTTTCTGAGATTGCATCTTCTTTTCTTTGATGACATTTGCATAAAGTAATCCCCAACGATCAGAAAGAAATATGCTTTTATTTTCAGTTTCCTACATGTACCTTATTCGATAGTTTGATAGGCGCGCATATTTTGCGCGCTGCGTTGTATTTTTCTAGGCTCCGTCGAGGTTAGGAAAAACACGAGAAAAGAGAATTTTTAGATTCACGTTTGGTGTGTTAACCGCAAACGTCAAACTGCGGTCAGCAGCAAGTTCTAAATTTGCAGCTTTTTAGATCGACATCAACGAAAAAAAAAAAAAAACGTGCGCCGCCATCTTGAATTACACAAAGGATAGAAATACTTTATACACAAAATGTGGATAAAAGTTTGGTTTTCTAGCATCCAGAACGGATTTGTTAAAAGGAAAAGACTTCATCTCACGTATGTTTACAGGACGCCCGTTAGAACTTTCGAACAGGAATATTAAAAGCGCCAAGGGGGTTGACCCACCTGAAACTGCCTCGCCTGAAGTTCTTTCATGGACCGTAAACGGCGAACGTAAACGCTGCAGCCTGGTCACCAGACCTCTAGCGGTTTGCGGTCACACGTACTCAGAAGAAAAACGTTGATCTAAAAACTCCCAAATGAACAAAGTATCCGCTCGTATTACATGTTAAACCATCGAATAAAGAATTTATGATTTAATTTTTAAGTATTTTAGCTTTAAGTTTTTTAAATCTTCCAGCGGCCTTATCGGAGAGTCGTCTCGATTGCATAGAGTTTTCTTCTTTCGTTTTCAGCAAATTACAGCTCCTTCCTCGACACCTTTGATAGATGCCGTCACCCCTTCTCCGGGAACTCCAAACGCCGTGAGTATTGATAGCTAAATGTATGGTGGCAAATTCCGAACTGGCAGAGCCTCAAAATTTCTCCTTTGTCTCTGGCTCCAATTGTGAAAGAACTGATGGATTCTTAGCCTGATCCAGGCGGTCAGTTAGTAAAACGGAACGAAATAGTAAACGGTACGATTGAAGCGGCGGGGTGAAAAAGCGAGGGAGGGCTGGGTCGGGTAGCGTTTCATTTCGTGATCCGACTTAAACTCTCCCTCACTATAAACAACGTCAAACAGACACGTCACACCGGTTAAGGTCAAGTCACCCTAAAGTCATCTTGCCTAAAGTCATGTCGCCTGAAACCAGAATCATGTCACCCGATTTTTTTATATTACATGTAAAACATAAAAGGCAAATTATTACTAAGCGCTGAAGGTACTGATCGATCGAAGAACCCTATTGATGTATTTCCGTAGGTGTGTGCGAAATGATGGCATACCAAACCAAAATGCTTCACTTTGTTGTTCGAATTAGCAACGCTTCTGGAGTCGTCGCTCATAAATATTGTAGTTCTGACCATGTGATCGTTTTCTGTGCAATCAAAGTCTTTATGGTGTTGTCGGCAACGAACACCGCTTGAGTGATAAAGATCTCTCTTCTTCATTACCAATTTACATTGTACGGTCTGATCTTAATTCTGGTTTCATGTGACATGAGTCTGGTTTTGGGTGACATGACTCTGGTTTCGGACGACACGATTCTGGTCTCGTGCGACATTAGGGTATCAAAACCTGCTTCTCAATTCTTTAAATTTTGACTGTAAAATATGGCTTTGGGCCCGTTAGGTTACAGGTAATCTCAAGAAACGGGGCCCTTGGCCGATGCTGGAGTAGAAAGAAATAGCAAGTGCTCCATCGAACTTGCTTGTAGCTGAAATAAGAAATTCTTAATGAGTTCAATTTAATTTGTTGCATCTCTGGTTCTCCAAACAGAGAAAAAGAAGAACAACAACGTCGTTTATGGACCAAAATGTGATGAAGAAAACCAAAAGACTTTAGGAGCAAAAACACTATGAGGACCCCTCAGTGTTTCTCGATACGGGATTCACGTAGGGATATTGCAAATATTAGATTTGCATAACGCATTCAGTTTGTAAATAAAATTAAAAAAAAGTTTCACAAGATTCCTTTTGAATGAAATCTCTCTGTAATTTTCTTTCAGTCATATTTTAATTGTCATGTGTAAGATTGATTGTAAGAAATTGGTACACGTTTTGTTAGAGTACCCTAAAAAACATCTTTCTCTATTTCTTTACCGAGCTTAAAACTTACCATCTCTCTTATTTCTATCTGTAAACATTAGGCTATCAACATTACGCTATCGACATTTCTGATCCTAGCAGTATGCAGGACGCGTGTCATATGAACTTCGTAATAGACCTCGCTCAAAGTGGAGTCTTTGTAGCTCAGTGGCAAAGCATCGGAGCGCGGAATCCGAAGATCTGAGGTTCGATTCCTCATGGGGACTCAGAATTGTTTTTTCGTCCCGCGCTCTTGACAAGACGAAAAACATCTTTCTCTACCCTACAGTTGTTCTGATAGTCCTTCGCGATTGTACAACTTGTCCTTGTTGCACTTGGGATGACGTAAAAACTCTGAAGGTTTTTTGCTCACATGATGTATGTTCGCTTTCGCGACCAACAATTGAAGCTCTACTTGTAAATGCAAATCTAAATTTTCCCGAATTCAGTGCGTTTTTATCTTCCCCAGTTATACCCATCCATACTTTCCGATGTCTGTTTAACACGTTTTGAAGTCACTAAAGCGTAAGGTTACAATTTCATTCTATTGGCAGTCGGCCAGTGGTAAAATTTATGGTGCAAATTACGTTTCTTAAAACGTGTTAAGGCTTAAGGAAACTGTCCTGTTGTAACAGATTAATTATCCTCAGTCTGTCGACATAGAATCCTCTTCGCTACCTTTATAACTGCCGTTCGAAGCTCTCGGACACGCCAACAGTATAAAAAAGGGTTTATGGCTGAGTTCGCAAATGCTATCGTATCAGTTAAGTTCCAAGCAATTGTCCAGAGGCTCGTGTAAAAGGTCAAAATGATCATGGCAGTAAAGAGCGGTAGATAACAGACGACCATCACAACAAAATACATAAAAGTATTTTTGGCGCTTTTCGATTTTCGTTCCATGTTGTGTTTCCTTTGGTAATCTTGTGTGGAATTCGCTACGGCATTTCTTTGAGCGCGAATTTTTAACCGGTGGCGACAAATGATGAGGTAAATCCTCATGTAAGAAACAATGGAAAGTAATAGGTAGATAGGAATGCTAACTGCTATAGCAAAATAATAAGCGGTCATATTCCATAGAACTAACAGAGACACCAGGCCATTGAACAACCAAAGGCTGATTGCGATGAGGATGGCCCGATGCAAAGTCATCAACAACGGATATCTCATGTGATAGAGGAGAGCGAGGAATCGGTCCAGGCTTATGGCAGTCATGGTTGAGATAGAAACGCCACCTGCTGTCAGAGCCATGGTCGTACATGGTTTGTACACGAAGCTAGCTTTTGTTAGCTCATAAAAGATATAGAGTGGTTGTGCTACAAATCCAACCAGAAGATCAGACACAGCCAAGTTGCAGAGGAACACGATGGATGGTGATCGAAGGGAAGGTGACTTCACTATGGCGACCAATACCAGTAAGTTACCAAGTATGGATACAAAGATGAGTGGAACATTTAGAACGCAGTTAATGATGACAATCGTATCAGGGCGTTTATACTCATTTTCGTAAAGGTAATCTGTGATAGTATTGTTTCCCATCTTCTCTGTTAATTGTGGAAGTACAGCGGAAATTAAGCCACCGACGATGTGTACGTGTTCGTCACCGCGAAAGAATACCACAATCTTTATATCTGTAACATGAAGACAAATTTCGTGATAATGATGTCCATTATTCATAAGCTTGTTTTTTACGTTATTGTTATTGTTGTTATTTAAATTTACACGTAATCCCTCAGACTGCCTTTTTTTGTACGATGTTATGATTAAAATCTTGATAACTACAGCTGTTTTTACAGCCAATAGCTGGCCGATCACACAATCTGGCCTCATACCGAACTTAACAGGTCACTAGTTAGTACATTTATATTTTAATTCGTCGAAGGTTGGATAAGTTCTTTAATTAAAGTCCTTGGCGCTTCAAATTTTTTTTCGTGGATTTAAACTAGCGTGAGCTAGTGTTAATAAACTGTAAATAAGAAGAGAAAAGTTTAACACGAAACAAGTCGACTAGGAAACAGTATATTAGCAAGATGCTAATAACTTAGCGCCCCGCGTACATGGTTGAACATTGACAATATTTTAAGTAAAAGAACGGAAAACTAAATCAAGAACTTGGAAAATTGAGACAATAGCAAATTAGTGAGGCAGGGAGCATATTTGATACAAGGGAAAAGCTTACTTTACAAACGACTGGAATGAGAATTTGCCAGAAAGGCTCTGAAAGGGACCGGTAAATTGACAAGATAGTGATCGCACTTGTTTTGACATGCACAATATTTTTAAGATAGATGTATAGAACACAAAGATCGGAATAAAGCAATAGGGAAAGGCAACATGAAACTGAGAGGGTTGCAACCATTGTTGTTAAGACTTTTTACACCTCGCCGGTAAGACAGCTGTTTCTTTCCATCAATAAGTTTTGGTAAACTTTTAAATGACCCATTTTCTGATTCATTAAAGTTGATTGTTCTACAAAAAGGAAAAAATTAGGCGAGTCGAGAGATCAACACACAGCCAACCTGCTTAGTTGATTGGGTAAATTTCTAAAAAAAAGCTGTAATGCTGTGTCTGCGAAAGCTTAAATACTGAGGGCTTTCTCACAGGTTATAATGCATACTTTACTCCAATTCTCTGATAAATGAATTTTTTAGCTCTAAAATACCGTGGTAAAGGGGTTTGCGGTAGAAGACGATTTCCAGACGAAACGAGGGGAAGCGAGTGTATCTTGAGCTATCAAAGGGTTCTCAGAAGTTCACTTGGAGAGAGCTTACACCAACAACCAACTGTAGAACTAGTCTCCAGGACTTTTCAAATCTCTGAAATTCAACATGGCGGACGCTTGACGTTTGATGCTCATCGACCGCTCCGTCATCTAAAATCAATATGTCCTTTGAATGAGTAAGGGTTGGTAGTTGGAACAGAAAGCTGGAGGCAATGTAGACGCTTTGGTTATGAATTGGTCAAAGCCACAATGTAGCAATTGAAATATGGATTCCGAAGCTTTCGAGATCGCCAGAGGCCTATTCAACTCGAAAGGTATCGTATTCGGACAACTTACTGTCTATGTAGATAATAGTATTTTACATGATAAGCTGAATTACGCCCGCAAATTTTTGCGGGCGTAATTCAGCTCATCATGTCATGGTGATGACTTCAACATTTCTTTGCTCCTTTAAAAAAATACCAATAGATTCCATGTTGCCGTGGGTCTGTGCAGTTACTGTAATAAATTACAGAAGACTTTAAAATGTGTTAAGAATATTAGTCACACACTTGGCTGTGCCCTTTGTTTCCACTTTTGTGTTCTTACTTCATCTTGTTGTTATCTGTGATGTACTAAAAACTGAACAAACAACATGACCAACATGAAGAGAGGGGCTCGATTTATTTCTTGGAATTTCCTTGTTCAAACGATGTTATTTATGACATGTAAATGCTGTCTTTGATCTAAATAATTTTTTGTTACATAAGGTAGGATTGGAATGTCAATATTATGCTTTTAATTTCCCATTGGGACATACCCTATTTACTATTTTCCAACCCCCCCTCCCTCAATGGCACTCCTGTGGAGACCAAAGGACCTGTGGAAATATTTTTGAAGAGGTGGTCATAATTTTGAACTTGTGGATACAATTTTAAAGGAGAAAAAACAGAAAATAAACTAAGAACAAAGCTGTAGTCCTGTAGATGCACTATTGTTTTGTCCATTAATTAAGAACTGTAAGCATAATGGAGCATGGAGCTGCGCAGAAATCTTACCAGGGTCAGTTAACCCTTTACACCCTAACATTGGTATTCATATTCTCCATACTGTTCTCTATACCTTTCCTCTGTTACTGGAAAGGAGAATTTGTTTGACAATCGGGTACTTCTTAACCCCTTCAAGTGACCAAGACAGAATTTCTCCTTACAATATCAATACAATATCAAGCAGGCAGGTGATGAGAATAGAGAAGAATATCAATTATGGGATTGTTAGTTGATCCAATACCAAATTCTCTGAACTAACATCATAAGAATTGTATGGCAGATAGTAAGGAGAATTACTGATCAGATCTTGGGAGTGAAAGGGTTAAATTGGTGATCATTTCCTTTATTCTCATGACCTTTACATTTGATTCAAGGGTGATATTGTAAGGAGAAATTAGAAGCCAGTCACTATTGAGGGCTTAAAGGTTAAGAAATGGAGTGTCCTCCTGATGGAAACTGATGCAAGATTTTGCTTTTTTTTTCTGTTGTTTAATCAAAACTATAACAGAAGTCTTGAATGTCATTGTTTATCACCAGCCCAGTTTGAGCACCAATAGGACAGTGTATGCATTATTCTTGTAATTGGATGGTGTAATTTGACAATTATCATGTTATGCCTGTGTAAAAGGACAGTATGCTTCATGTGTGCACGCTGTTGTCATGCATTTTCACTAAATTAACATTTTTTTTTTTTTATGAAAGCATGTAACTGATGTCTACAGTAGTTTCTTTATCAAATTTTACTGTAGTCTTGATTAGTTGGTAGCAGGACCAAATGGAGTCCAATTCTGTCTGTAATCATACTCAATCAGACTCCCCCCTAAACCATTGTCTAATTTTGTTAATGACTCGTATCATTACTGACTGAACTGGACTCCAATCAGTCTTATCACCATTATTGATTATTCAAGTGAGCATCCAAAGACCGCCTACTGCAGCCCAACATGGTGTGCTCACTACCAGCTCTAGAGGGCCACCACCTCAGGCTGGAATAAAGCCTCGTCCATTCAGTGCCAAGGCTAGAATAACTACAGAAAGGGTTGGTGAAAAGACAAATGTAGGGCACAGATCACGACCTCCATGGAGACCATTTTCTGGACATGCTGCACTGAACAGACCAGCTCCTTTAATGAACAAAGAATGTGACAGTAGCACAGTTGCGATGAAAGAGGAACTCAGCCAAGATTCTACTCCTGTTCCCTCAGTGTACAAAGACAGGTTAGATTTTCACGTGTTAAGAGAATTCTAAGTTTGTTTTAGCCAAACACCTCATAAACTGTAGATTTACCTCAACCCTTTTTTTCCCTAACATCAGAGGGCATATTCTCCATACTGTTCATTATACATTTCCTAAGGTGCTGACAAGGAGAATCTGTTCAATAATCAAGAGGTGCTTTGGTTAATGATTATTTCCTCTTTTCTTGTGTCCTTAAAGTTTGGCTCAGGGAAAATATTGCGAGGAGAAATTAGATGCTAATCACTCTTAGGGACTAAAGAGTTAAGACCAGAATTATTACTGACAGTAACTTTGTTTTGTCCCAATTAATGTGAACAGGTGTTTGCCCAAGAATCTTACAATTCTACAAGAGTGGCTGACGGAAGATGTGCCAAATAACTGGTGAGTACTTGTATTATTTTTTGATGCGTTGTTTCCTTTGATTGAACATTCCAAGCTTTGTTGTCAATACCAGACATGTGTACAATGTGTTCAATTTGAGGCTCCAATTTTTTTCTTGGTTTAAAAGTTTTGATCCAATTAATTTTCCCCTTTGTTTTAGTTCTTAAAGAAGAGAGAAGATCTTGAACTAACAAAAGTAAAAGTCAAACTGGTTTCAAAAACTTTTTTCTTGCGTTGTAAAGATTTTGAACCAGAACACAAACCACATCCTATTAACAATACCAATAACTTGAGACATGCAGTTTGCACATAGCTAGGATCTTTTTAAAGCCTAAGTTTTGTAAGTAACACTTTTTCAGTGATTTCCATCTTAACCATTTGTAGCCCAGCATTAGTATGCATATTCTCCAAACTGGTCTTTGTAAATTTTCCATGCTACTGACAGTGGAATTTGTTAAGAGCTTTTTTTTTAGTTGGTGATCATTTCCTTCATTCTCATGACCTTAGTGTTTCATTCAGAAGAGAGACTGTAGGCAGTGATATTTTTCCCCGAATGATTTAGTCTTCTAACCCATTACTCTCTACATATTTTACCCTTTGATCTATAAGATTAGCATCTAATTTCTCCTTACAATCACAAATTGAGGTCATGAGAATAAAGGAAATTATCATTAACCAAAGAATCTACTGATTGTTATACAAATTCTCCTTGTCAGCACCTTAGGAAATGTATAGAGGAAAGTTTAGAGAATGTACACACTGATCTTTGGGTGTAAAGGGTTTAGTTGACTACTAAGCTCAAAATTGGTGTTTCTTCATGAAAAAAAGGGCTAATCTAGCTCGTCCTGTTCTGTTGACAGGCCAACACAACTTACACCCAAACACAGCTTTGTATTCCTGCCATGCATGCAGTCAGAGGAGTGTGTGTGGGACAAGTTACCTGTTGTTCCACCTGCTCAGCAGCCTGATGATGTGTTGATATTTACTCCAGAACCACAAGTTAAGGTACAGTACATGTATGTGGTGTTGATATTGTAGGAGACATGGTGACCCAAAGGTTAGCATGCTATACTCTGTTTAAAGAAGTGCAGCCTTGAGTCACCTGGCTGAGTCAATGTGTTATGTTCTTGGGCAAATCACTTCACTCTGACAGTGCCTCTCTTCACCCAGGAGTATAAATGGGTACCAGAGAACTGTCAGGAACCAGACCACATGCTTGGTAGAGAGGGGATGCTTGGGATGGATTGTCATCCCATCTAGGGAGGGGAGGAATACTCCTCATCATTTTATGACCCAGAAACCAGGGTACATGAAAAGTGATTGGTCAATTTTGCTCTAATTTTTTTGGCTGCAAGACTGACTCAGTGTGAGACAGTTGTGATTGGTGAGTGTCATTCCAGTAGTAAATTATGTTTCATTGAACAATTGGTTCATATGTCAGCGTGCGTTCATCGAGATATGAAGCACATGGGAAGTTTGGAGAGCAGGAAAGATGCGAAAGAGAAGAGAAAGATGCATCAAGAAGCTAGAGTTGCTCTTGGCTACGCCTCGAGCAACTCTTACACATCTTTTGTGCTCTCCAAACTTCCCATGTGCTTTATATATCGATGAACACACAGCTGACACATGAACCAATTGTTTTATAACATTTTCAATATTTTTATGAAATTTTTTTCTCAAGTGATTTGTTTGCTGATGTCATAAGCGTGCACAATAGGAATACGATGCACACTCTTGCAATTGAATTTGATTAGAAAAATTTACTTGCTATGTTACAATGTAGGTTGTTCTGTCTGGTTCACTTAGTTTTAGTGATGCAGTGAGTAAGTCATTTGTACTTTAGGTGCTGGCAGCCATAGATATCCTGTCAATGTTTCCTTAAATCTTTTAATTGTTTACAGAAATTTAAGCCCCCAAAACCAAGACTGCAGTCATTTGTTGAGGTATGATTAAAAATATTTCATGACGTACAACTTTATCATACAAAAATAATAATATTTTTTTTTTCCAACTTCTGATTTCATGCCTTGTCTTTTGACTACTGGTGAGATACTTGACCCCTGAACTACAGAGAACATTTGTATCATTCAATATTTGAGAAGTGTTTTTAATATCCCTTTACACCTTAATATCATTATGTATATTCTCCATACTATTCTCTTTACATTTCCTAAAGTGAACACAAGGAGAAATTGTTCACAATCAAGAGTTGCAAACCAGTTTTTCATTTGTTAAATTTTTTTTTTCAAGGAGGAGGAGAGAAGGTGCAAACACAGGTGAACTGTTTTGTAATATATTGATAGAATGAATTTAACAAATGATAGTTAAGCATATTTAGGATTAGAAGTGTTTTCAATTGAAGTTCTTTCTACTGGACTGATAAAAAAGATTTTAGCCTGCTCTATGGTAAAGTTTGCACTCAAGCCAAATGGCTCATCCTGTCTTAGCTTAGCTTACCCTGGTTTGAATTACATGAGGCAGCTTGGAGTGTTGTTAGTATAAACTGGTCAGGTCACCTGGAAGTCATGTCAGCCAGAGGTTGAGTCATGTTGCCCAAAAGTTTGGTTATTTTGCCCAAAATTTTGGTCATGTCACCCAAAATTTTAGTCATTTTGCCCAAAATTTTGTTTATGTCACCCAAAATTTTAGTCATGTTGCCCTAAATTTTAGTCATGTCTCCCAAAATTTTAGTTATGTTTCCCAAAATTTTAGCCATGTCACCCAAAATAAAAAGTCAAGTCACCTGAAGAAACAAATACTTAAAAGTTCAGACTTACAGACTGTAAATAAGCAATTACTGGTGAGTTGAGAATTCTGTATTACTAAAGCGCTGTAAACTATAATAACATGGTATTTATTGTTATTTTTTAAGAAGTAACATTGTGAGAACAGATCCAAGTCCCTCTACACATGAGTAAGTACATGGATGAAGAACATAATTTTTCACATGAACCCTTCAACTCCAATATCTCATCAGAGATTCTTCTCATCATCTGCCCTCATCATCTGCCATACAATTCTTGTGATGTTAGTTCTGAGAATTTGCTATCAAATCAACTTATCTCCCAATTTATATTTTTCTTTATTCTCATCATTTGTCTACTTGGTATCGTATTGATATTGTAAGGAGAAATTCTGTCTTCATTATTCATGGAAGTTGAAGGATAAATAACAATGTGTGTAACCATTTTTGGAATACACTGGAGATTTCATACCAAGATGAAATTTACAGATGTTTTTGCCTCTATTTTATTCTCACTTTAAGCTTCTTTCAATTATGTTTTTAGCATTTTTGAGGGAATGCAGAGAGCAGATATTATTAGACAAGAGATTGAAGATCTTGAAAGGCTGTTACAAGGTAACTATTAACAGTGGAGGAGCAGGGAGTGTAGGGCATGGTGGTTTTGCCCTATTTTACAATGCAATTGGTCCAAAAACAAGCACCACTTTTTTTTTTCACCGATCAGATGCAAACTTAAACCAAGTGTGGCTTTATCTCTTTTTATTCACACAGTTTGCTAGTTTCTACTTCGAATTCTCATTGGCTCGTTGAGATATTTACTTTCTTCTGATTGGCTCAATTGAAATGTGCTGTAATGGTAGGGGTTTCAATAATGGGGGAGGGGGGGATTGCAGGTGGTTTCCTGTAGCCAGGAGACCTTGAATTCCGTCTGTTAAGCGTTCAAGCGCTCTTTTTGATGCCCAGAATACTGGAAATTGCAATTCCTGACTATATATATATATACTTTTTTTTTTTTTTTTTTTTTTTTGGGGGTTTATGAACCATTCCCCCCCCCTTTCGGAAAAGGAGCCTTACATCCTCTTCCTCAACCTTTTCTGTTACACTGTCGGCAGCCGCGTATTGACAATGTTATTAAAACCCCAGAGTAATAAGTTGATATGTAACCAAAAGAAACTTGTTGACAAAAAATTATTTTTATCATTAATTTTAATATTGTTTTTCATTTTAGGCATCGGAAACCCCAAGGGCTCTTCTATAGTAGTGCGATACCAGCATGATATAAATTACTTGAGAGACATGGCCAGAAACACAGTTGAAGGATATGAATTGTGAGTGAAAATTATCATACCATACAAATTCTCGGGTTTTTTTTTTCTATTTCAACATTCAATGACATTGATTACCACTTGCAAAATATAAATGACATTCATGTAAATGTAATTTTAAAAAATTGAATTTTAAACTCCTAACCCTTCAGTCATGTACCGTGTTAACTTAGCGTTTTGTGGGATAGTGTTTTTTTTTCGTGTTTGACAGGGACACTTTTTTAGCAGTTGTGGATGATTTAAACGTTTGCTGGGAACAGCTTTCTTCCAATTTATTTTCACGCAGCACAAAATTAAGGAAACCGATAATGTTTTCAACCGATGTTACTTAATGAGTAACAGCACACTGCAGTACTGACCACATTGTGTATATCTAAGATCTGGTTTGTTCTCCCTCGTCTTCACAGTTCCCAGGAGGCGCGGAGTCTTACCCCAGTAGCTGCCAGTTTTCAGGTAGGAAAAAATCTATCTCATAGGCATGACAGTTTAGCTACACGGGGGAAGTGAGTAGGATAAATTTGCACCAGTAAGTCAAATTTCCATTGTTGAATGTAAAAAGTATCCCCTGGACAGAGGTTTCCTGTTGATGCAGGTAACAGTATATCGGCCATATCTCCAGTTAGGACCAAAGTTTATTTGCCTTGAATGAAAAGGTCCCATTGTACAAAGGTTGGATTTAGAAAGCGCCGTTAAGTACCTTTCCTCAAAGTAGCTCCTCAACTTAAGTTCTTCTTTGCAGGAGGATCTTGTTAGATATCCTGAGAAACACGACCAGATTGTGGCGACTATTAAAGAACGACGGGATCGATGTGTGAAGCAACTGGCTGACATAGAACAGGAGATTATGAACAAGAGCTCATGATCTTCACAAGGCAGAGGAGGGTGCAATCTGATGCCGAATCCTTATTCACGGTTTAGGCGGACAGTTTCAGTCCAGTACTGCATGAGTGAGCTTTGTTTTAACGTGTTAGACTTAGGACTGATTGCTTGTAAAAAAAAGAAATTGTAGTAAATCGCGAGGTTAATGACAAATGCGTCCTATTTTTATTCTTCCCTTTCCTGACGAAATATAATAGGGAACTGGAGAAAGGTGTGTGAAATTAAAGAGAACTATTTTTTCGTTAAGAGTAGCGTGCGAAAAAACGTCACTTTTCTTTGCTTTTTCTAGGCGGGCGGGGCAAGTGCGAGATGATAATTTTCGCCCATAAGCAAGCCAAGTTAGACCACTTAGGGCGCTAAGGGTGTCCTCCAGTAACGCAAATAATAACCAATAATTTTGTTATGGCGTACACCAGAGCTTAAAAGACACTAACAACGTAAACTGAAGGATTCTAGATCACTGCAACACCGCAGTGTGGGATTTTATGTATCTGAATATTACATTAACCCTCTCAGAAGCGATCTTTACGTAGAAGAAGCCGAAATCAAATGCTTTATACAATCGAATAGGGTCCAAAAGCTAAGTTAAAACTATACGTTCATTGAACTTAGCTTATGTCTGTAAGATCTTAGCTTATGTTTTTAGGAAACAGGAAATCGACTGGGGTAACTTTCGGCCGCAACTTTCGAATACTTTCCAAACCTTTGCCCGAAGTCCTTGTTATGAATATTTAACGACGTCATACGTCACGTCCTTCTTTCAGCCTCGACTTATAGTCACGAGACGATCACCTTGGCGTATTTCCGAAAAGTGTTGGGTTGCGTGGTTAACAAAGATAGTAGCCTTTCGTTGGAATTTGGAAATAAGACAGGTAAACTATTCTTTTTTTACTTTTGCTTTTGCTGAGGCAACCTGATATATTTCCATTTCGTAAATTATTCATTTCCGAGTTCCATATTACAGCGTGTTGGTTATAGTTACGGATTGAACTTACAGATTTGACCTCGCAAATTACAGCAAGCATCAAGCGCTACTGCTGCTGTAGCCTGTATGTATTACAGAATATAGTCGGCGACAAAATAAGTCGACATGTAGCACCATGTAGCTACTATTTAGGAATATTCTAGAAACGAGAATTGTAGTTCGCTGCCATACACCGCTGTTGCGCAGTGACGTAACACGAAGGTACAAGGAACAAAAGATGCCCGCAATACAGACTTCTCATTAGAGCGACTAAACTTTGCAAGCTCGCGATTGTTTCTCCAGCCAGCCATGTTTGATTTTAGAGTTAGAGGTGAAGGTAAAATTAAGCATCAAAATTGATTTATACATTTGCCCTCTGGCAGACATTTCAGTACCCGTGGAACAAAGACTTGGATTGTATTTTATTCTTCTATGGATTTTCTTACACCGCGCATGCAAGAGTTAACTTTTGCCATTGTCTCGTGCTCTAGACAGAAAAACGATAACGTTCTGATCAATTTTTCTTATTTTTAACTTTTTCGAGAAATTGAAACTAACAGGAAATTCTCGTGCAAAAATTATCTGCCTTTCTGATTTGTTATTACCTGTCTTCAGTGCAGTGCGTGACCAAAACAACTTGTGAATGTCGGCTTTAAGCGTCACGCTCTACTTCTTGTCAAATACGGTGACAATTTGACTCATATATGAAATAAACTAGAAGAACCCAATGCACCGACTCAGAACGTGACATGGCCCCTTTAAAAAATATTTCACGCCTTCCCGTGGAATTATGTTAGCATCAGGCACACTCTTGTGAGCCGCCAGCGGAGAGAACTCTTTCCTAGTGCAGGAGCCAAATTTAATAGAAAGGTGGACTGGCGAACCTTGAGGCCCGCAGCAGGGAATGAGAGAGAAATGACATCATTGCTAGGCCATACACTTTGGCAAATAAAGAGGGTGCCTGGAATCGACATTGAGTTTGTTGATTAATATTCTGATGGCACATTGAAGAGGTTCGCGTGGCAGCGTGAAAGTTTCGGATTATATAAGCGTTTCACTGGAAAATTAAGTCATTGTAGATCGGTCAGTCTTATGTTTGACCATTTTCTTTTTTGTACGTGTTGTAATTTTTATTCTCCATCTCCCTGTAAATATCATTACAATCATGATTTATTCCTTTATGATTAATAGTATAGCCTGGTTAGTTTACCTTTTCCTTAGGGTATTGTGCTGCTGCATTAGATAAGGAATACGTTTCCACATATTTTTTTGACCACATGTGAAGTGTTTTTTTTCAGGGGTTTTTCTTGTGTTGCGTAGCACAGGTTCTCTGTTTAGAAAACTTCGTTTCATTGTACACATATTAAGACTGTATCAAAATGCGTATACGTAGACCCCCCTGGCTCCCGAGGAAACGTTGCCTTAACTCCCAGATGTCATTAACATATAACTTATCCCCGTAACATCTATAACATTCTTTTAATTCCCAGAAGAGATTAACATGTAACTTCTCCCTAAAATATCCATACATTATCCAACAAACAGGTAATGAGAATACTCAAACTTATCAGGTAGAAGTTGTTATCTTGATCTTACACTAAACTCTTGTTATTAATTTAGAAGGAAATGTGTAGCAGCTAGAGGGGAGAATTAACAATCAGATCTTGGGATTCAAAGGGTTACGAGGTTCTCGCATCTCATTATTTCTACCTTTTTTAGGTGCTGATTATAAGCTAGATCCTCATAATGAAACCCGTTACAAACCGAGGGATTGTTGAACTGAACCCATCATCTACCGAAGAGGAAGCGAAAAAACTCTATGATTCTTGGGCAGAAAATTATGAAGTGGTTAGTATGGAAATTACTGCAAAAACAGCGTGCGAGGAGACCCTCGTCATTAGCGGTACAGGACGCGCGTTTCTCCGCAGGAAGGGAGGAAGATTTGGAAGATTTGAGACGCGTAGGGGAGAGGTTTGCCGGGGGGGTTAGAGTGCTAAACCTTTTGCAGACTTAGTTCTCACCGGCTTGCATAGCTCAAGGCTTCATACTTTTCCGTTGGCGAAGAAACGTTGACCCTAAACATCAGTATGCATATTCTCCATACTGTTCTCTATACATTTCTTAAGGTGTTGAAAGGGAGATTTGTTTAACATCAAGAGTTCTTTAGTTGTTGATCATTTCGCTTATTCTTATGACCTTTATGTTTGATACAGGGGTGATATTGTAAGGAGAAATTAGACGCCAGTCACTCTTAGGGGTTAAAGGGTCAGAGAGGGTCTACTGTAACAGTTTTACCTTAGTTCTAAATTATATTCTTACGATGTCGTCTCAGTTCAGGTGTGAATGAGCGTGGGATGATAAAAATAACAGAATGCTTAGATATCAGGGCGCACGTGTCTCGCAGCATGTTTCCTCATACAAAAAGATGATTATATAAGTGTTTCTTATGTCTTTTTTTATGCATTGATTTTATCCAGGATTTAGTTGTTAATCATGGTTATAAAGCACCACAATTATGTGTGGAAGCTTTCAACAAAGCCATACAGTCTGAAGAGATCTTCCCTGGTGCAGACAAGAACATGAAGATCCTTGATGCTGGAGCTGGTACAGGTATGATTGGTGAGATGCTGGTTAAACAAGGCTATACAGATATTGATGCCCTAGATATTTCGCAGAATATGTTAAACGTAGCTAAAAAGAAGAATGTTTACAAGCGACTCATCTGTGCACCTTTGAGTGATGTTCGCATAGAGCAGATACAGACCGCTGAATATGATGTGACATTGTGCGGAGGCACCATTGTTTATGGTCAAGCAAAGCCTGTGGCACTGGATGAGTGTATACGCCATGTAAAACCAGGTCAGTGCAGTGAAGTCCGTTTTGATGTTATAAGTACCCTAAAAAGTGTATTGGCGTGACGTTTTTCTCGCGGTAACACAGTCACACAACATCTCAGTTACTTTTTTTCACATTCAAGGTGGTCTGTTCATCTTCACTCTCCGAGCAGACTCTTTCGACCCAAAGTATGGTTACTGTACCAAGTTTGATGAGTTGGAGAAGGCGGGAAAATGGAGACTTGTGAACAGGGAACTGCGAGAGCTGTACACCGACCCACATGAAGAACGCTTCAGGGATTGTTACTTGATCACTTACAAAGTGATCCAAAACTAACTTCCAATGGATTAAAAATAGAGCTTGTTGCCATAGTTGTCAAACTCAGAAAATGATTGATTTGAAGGAGAAGTATGCTCCAGAAACCATGTAATTTCCATTTCCTCTATTAGGCCGGTCATAGTCGATGAAATGTAATTTAGAAACATCGATAAATTAAAAGTTGATAAATAAAAACAATTATTATACGAAAAGGTAGTCCTGAGGTAAATCTAAGCGTCCTGATTCGTTCTCTCTTGGTCTGTATTTTGCCATACAGACCTTTCCCCGCAAACGGTCACAAGCCGGGTATTTTTGACCGCGAAAACCGGGTGATTAAAAAGCAAAAGTAAGAAACAGGTTAGTCCCAGTGCCATATAATAAACTACATACTAAATTTGCTTGCTTGAGCCATACTGGGGAATATCGACCCTCAGTCGTTTTTGTAAGCCACGACCTCGGGCCAACATTCCTCAGTAAGGCCCTCTCGCTCGGTTGGTAAGAAGTTATAATTTATATGTAACATTTGTACCATAGCGTATGCCAGTTCAGTTTTTTATCAGAAAAAGTGGCTCTGAACTTAAAATAACTGCAATGACCTAAATTTGTCGAGTGCCCGAAACGAACTAATTATAATAAACATATTATGTGAAGAAAAACCGACCGAGGGAAATCAAAAATAGTAAATAATTCTCATGATCTTCTGTTTTTGCGTGAGGTTTTCATTAAAACAGCTGTTTAGTTCAGTATTTAGCAAATTTATCATTTTTTATCATCCAAAATTTTAAAAACCTTTTTTTTTATCGTGTAGAGTTTCTGACAAGCATTCACTTAGTGTCAGAAAGAAGTAAGGGACGCGACTTGTGACGGAAAAAAAAATTGACCACCAGTTAAAGGTGATAAAATGTCAATAATAATTATCGTATTTACAGTTCCATTTTATGATAAGAATGTCGAAACGCTGAGGTTCCTGAAAACAGCCAGTGACTGCAAGTACTACCAGTGAGTATTGCTGAAATGTTCACGGTCTAAAATATCCTCATCGGCTGCTGGAAAATCCACATTCCCTTGGAAATAGTCACCGTTCAATTTGTCAAGAAGTGAACTTCAAAGAGGTATGTTAGGACATGCTGTGTCACAATGGTAGCTATAGAAACAGTGATGAATTACACTTACGGAGGGACTCGCCTAAAGCAAGCGCAATGTTATTATTTCTCACCTGTAAATCGGCGGTTTATCGAAAGTGCTTCGAAAAAGACTGGTTCATCCAGTAATTACTTGCTAACATTGAGTCATAACTGACAACCTTCTTGGGAAAGTATCTCGCGTTAAAATTAGACTTGAAGTTTCTTCTTGAACATTTATTTCACTGGACAAGAATGAGATTATAATATTTATTGTTAATTATCATTTTTGCAAATTTGGCCAAATATTGTGCTTTTTTTCCTAATATTATTGTTATTACTTCTCTTCAATGCAAATTAAAACTGCGGATATTTTTCGGTTTTCGGTTCCATTTTTAAAAACTTAGAAACATTGACTCAGCTTAATAAAACCTTGAACGCAGACCAGGATACATAATTCAACAAGGGAAGTTCCACGCTATTTGAGAAAAATTGCAACCGGCAACTAAATAATTAAACGTTCTCCATAGGACTCAATTAAAAGTATTTAAACTCGCCAGAGGATGGTGAAAGATAAGTGCAATGTTGTTTAGAACAGATAAATCATGAAAAAGTCCATTTTGCACCTTTAAAGAATCTAAAAAAACGAACACTTTGTGATAACGTATGTGCAAAAAATGTGTTTTTTGTTGATAAAGCTTTGTCGTGTTCAGAACAGAAGACGCAATCTTAAAGTTAATAACATGTTTACATTCCACCTCCTAGAAGGTTAAATTGCTTGGGTAAATCTTATGCTTGTCAGTATTACTCAGTGTTTATGTTATTCCTCAGTAAATTTAAGCCATTTTTTGACTTGATAAAAACTTCAGTGCACTGTACAATGTTAAAGAAACACGGTGTTTTATTTGAACAAACGTCTCTATTAATGTTGTCGCCTGGTCTGTAATTTGACGTATTGTGATAAGCCGTTTGGGTTTTTGTTATCCAGCTTTGAATACGCGATGAGTAGCACTTGAAGCCAGCTGCACTGGTACATAGAGCTTATTTTTTACGTATTTACCGGTGAATAACCTCTAACACGGATTTCGATCACAACCAGCTGTGAAAAATAGGTAGGTACCGTAACTTAGCTGTGATATCCAACCTCAGATTCTACAAAAAATTATCTTTATTGAAAGGAAAAACAGAACAAATGTTTGCATCCTTTGCATTTTGAGATTTCCAATTCAAACCCGCTTTCGCTTATCGAATTCAGCGATAGCATCATAAAAAAAGTACAGTGACTTCTTAAAGTCGAATATTTTTATGTGAATTTTTCAGAGGTTGTACATAAGTCAATTGCATGAGAAAGGAGCATTTTCATGAAAATCCACATTTATTAAAATAACTGATGCGTTTCAAGGATTCAAGATTGAGTACTCTCTCTGAAATGAAAAGAAGACGGGAATTACAAAGAGACAAACAAATTTTGAAGGAAGATGTCCATACAGCGCCATTCTTCATTATGCTTACAGTTGTTTGATAGAGAGAGCACTAACTAGATTGCCCAGGGGAAATATTTCTAGTTTTAATCCGCGGTCTTTAAAGTCTTATAATGTGGAGAGATTGCTTTGAAAGGGAGAGGTAAAACTTGTTTCTGAATTGTCAAAAGCAAGCACTTCAGAAATTCCATTGTCAGGGGATTGATGATTTTGCAAAAACATTTTACGTTTTCACGCACAGTATCGTCATTTCAACAATTTTATGAACAAAATCCGAATGCTAATTGAAAAGCCCTATTTGTTTATGGGCTCAAATTTTGTTCGTTTTAACCTAAATGTTGCATTTTCAATTTCCGAAATCTTACCGGCAAGGTTCTGTCAATATCCAAAGTTGAACTGCAAGTTAAAAAGCAGGTTTTCATTTGGATTATTCACTCAAATTTATACTTTCGAGGAGAAAGATACCGTTTTGAATGTTACCTAGAAATTTATACAATTGATTTAGAAATAAGCATCTATATATGAATTTTAACTCCGAATTTATTTCATGCTACTACTAAGTAAAAGTTAGTCCCCATGAAAACATGAAACATGAAAAAAAAAAAACAAGTTTCTACCTCGAGAGATACGCAGTTTACAATTTTTTTCAATGAAATGCGATACATAGACGTCAGAGGAAATGACCGGGTTATCAATCGGCCATTACATAATTATTCATTATTCACTCTATAATCTTTTGTTTTGAATTATTTTTGCACCTGATAACCCTATACATCAGTATGCATATTCTCCATACTGTTCTTCATACATTTCCTAACGTACTGGCAAGGAGAATTTGTTTAGTAATCAAGAACTTCTTTAGCTGGTGATCGTTTCCTTTATTCTTGAAACCTAAATGTTTGATTCAGGGATGATATTGTAAGGAGAAATGAGACAGCAATCACTCTTATAGGTTAAAGAATTAAATTAGAGAAATAATTTTTTTCTCACTCATAACTTTTTAGAGAATGGCTTGGTAATATGAGTGTTCTGTCCTCCGCAATTTCTTCATTTTACATCAAATGTAAATTGATATTTTGTCGAGAAAGTTAATTTGGTTTTGATTTCATCCATTATCTTTTCTTTTCTGCAGTTTTAACACTACCAACATATTTACGATGGCATTACTACGATTGATGTCAACATGGCTACTTTCATTACTTCTGCTTCCAATGAAAGCATCACTGAGGTAGGAATCCTTTAGAGTTGATAATGGAATCAGTGGCCAGTCCACTTAGCAGTACATGCGCAAGATTATACAGATTAGGGTTCTCAGACATCGCTCGAGGGTTATACTAATTCAAATAGTTAAAAAGTCATGCGAAATTTTTGTAGTATTCGAATGAAAGTTGTGGAAATCGCTTTTTGACACAGAAAGTGAGGACGAGGATGAATAATTAATAATTTTTCACCGAAGTGAAGGTGAATGGTAGTGGATACTCACTGAGCCGCGAAGCATAATTGTGCAACTCGGCCAACGATTTGTTTCCAAAATGGCAGCATCCATTGCCGATGCTTTTAGGATAATTTTGTACCGATTGAGTAGCTATTTTGAGTCTCAAAACAGGGTTATGTAATTGCTTTATCAATTTACTATTCAATTAGGGAAAAAATAAAGCATACTTTCTGAAGTATAATATCCTTTTATCATTTCATTCTCAAGATATCTGAGAGTGACTCGCACTTAATTTCTCCATTAAACATCACTGCTGAATCACGCATTGAGGTCAAGAGAATAAAAAATGTATTGTGGATGTCCACAATGTCTACTGTACGTAATTTTTAGAATTTTAGATTTGTGAAATTGGCGTTAAATCGAAAATACTCCTTGACGGCATTTTTCTCTTTTTTCATCACCACCTCTATTTTTTGATGGATAAACAAATTTCATTTTATTTGCTTTATCCTCTCGGTTCATAACCTTAAAAATATATAAAAAATCAGAATGGAGAAAAACTGTATCCTGATTCGTGATTTTATTGCCTTTGATTGGTTAAGGGAATGATAAAATAATCCAGACAAATCATAGAACACGTTGAAGAAAAACCAATGCAATCCCGGATTAATTATTGTAGACTCTCATTTCATTTGTTTTAGGGTTGCTTAGGATTAGGTATTTGAAAGGTTAAAAGATTGGCGCGCATTTTTCAGACCAATCACGGAACGCGTTGAAGCAAACCCAATGCAATTCGTGATTCATTGCCTTCATGTACACATCTTTAACTTGTTGTATTATCTTTTGTCAGTGAGAACCCGTCTATCCTTCGGAGTGAGGCAGCCAACGCTTCAGCCATCCTCAACAGACTACTAAGGAAAAAATGTTATGACAAAAAGACCCGGCCCAACGTGACTGGTACATTAATAATAACTCGCAATTCAATTCTCCTTTCCCAGGGCTGAAAGACATTTGTGTGTAAATTAGACTAGTGAGGGGTATTGGGTAGCACATCAAGTGTTCAACCTGTTTTGAACCTGCTTTGATTCTGGTTGAAAAAGATTAGGAAAGACAAGGCTCTCTTCACTATATAGATAAACAGAAACTGAACGAATCGCAACACTAGATGACCATCTCTTGCAGGTCCACCAGAAATAGTAAACGTGAGTATGGCGATCAAGGCATTCAGTGAAATCAAAGAATCTAACATGGTGAGTAACAAGAGTAAAGCTTATTTCTGATAAGAGAATTGAATTTTTTTCAGGGAAGAAACTGGTCGATGTATTAGGAGGGTTGAATAAACACGGTATAAAGTGGTCAGAAAACGGATGCCCCATCATTTTTCATCACCTGGGGGGGGGAGGTCTTTAGAATACTAAGGAGCCTTACGGTGGGAATCAGGAAAATTTTATTGTGAAACAACCGCAATCTCCGAATTCCCCTTCTACCGCTCCCTCGGCAATAAATAATGACCAGTCCGTAATTCAGTGGAAATCGAGCTTGGTTCGAGTCAGCACGAAGCTCGAGTTCGCGAGAGATTATATTATCTGGTGTCGATTGTAAGTTTAACTTACGAGCCTGACCTTCATTGACCTGAAGCGAGTAGGAATATTTCTACTACTCCTTGGTGGGATACTCGTATAACATGTTCCCCCGCCCCAATGAAAATATCAAAAGTTTTCCTTCAAAATTTATACTTTGGGTGGAGGGAGAGTGACGTGCCTTGCCCAATGAGACAATACGATGGCGCGGCCTGGGCTCGAACTCAAACCTTTGAACCAGGTGTCCATGGCACTTTTCACCAGGCCACCTCTTCATGCGAAGAACATGTTGCAGAATATGAAGTCTCAATAATTCACGATAACCATCTCATCAATTTTTTTTAGGAATTTCAAGTGTACGTATATTTCCGCCAACAGTGGTTCGACAAAAGGCTTGCTCATAAACATGAAGCCACACTAGCACTCGGAGGGACAGACGTCGAACGCATTTGGCTTCCAGACACTTATATAACAAACGCTAACGACTACGAAGTTTTTCCGTCCAATCAGCTGGTCTTAATTGACTCTGAGGGCAAAATTTATTACTTTGCCTATGTGAGGATAGCTGGGGCATGTCAAATGAATCTTGTCAAATTTCCAATGGATGTACAGCGCTGCCATCTGACTTTGGAAAGTTGTAAGTAAAGGCTGACTTAACTGCTTCGCGCATTTCTTATCTGGATTCTCCTCACAGCCTCCCCCCCCCCCGCCACCCTCATTCCCCTTCCGCGTTGGCCTCATGGTCAGTTCAGTGGACGTTGAGTGGAGAAGCCCAGGTACAAGACCTAGCCAAGTCATTGTGTTGTGTTTTGCCTCTCTCTCAAGAGTGTGAATGAGAACTGGCGAATTATCAGGGAAATTTTATGAAATGCAGGGGGGGGGGACCTTGCAATGGACTAGCATCCCATCGGGGGTGGGGGGGAAGTATTATTACTCCTCGTCGCTTCTTGCTATGAAAAATGTGATAAGTCAAGCCGCATGGGCCATACGGCTCGGGTACAGATTGTGTTTTGCCGCGTTTGACACGCGCAATAAATAACGAGATACTTTTCGTTCGCTTTATTTCTTCTCAGTTCGTCATACCATTGAAGAGATGGACTTTAAGTGGAAGGAGAAGGAACCTATCGCTCTGTTCAATGAAGAGTTAGCTGAATTTGATGTGGTTAAACACGAAGTGAAGACTAAAAAAGCTAATTACATTTCAGGTTTGGCTTCTTCGCTTCTCTCGTAAGAGAGAATTCGCGTCACTGCGTAAACATGAACTTCAGTATTTGCTGTTTAGGAAAGGTCTTGAAGGTATCAGCAAAGTTTGTGCAAAAATGACCACGCTGTTGAAGTTTTCCTACGTTTTATATTTCATTTTACGATTTTCCTCTTCCTCTCCCCCCTCGGTACTTCGGTACTTCATTTTCTATTCACGCGTGGCGCACGTGATTTTACCATACTAGCCAATCACGTCAAACGATTCTAACTTTGGCTTTGGCTTTGAACTTAACGACGCCAATTCAATAACGCTTTCCCTGTTTTTTTTTCTTCTTATCTTATAATTGATTATTTATAGCCTTGAATGGTTTTGGTGACTGCCGGGGCTGGCTTAGTAAGGAGTTTTTGGACTCTTCTGTGGGTCTCCCTTGACAAAAGATGTTATTTCATATTCATATGTTTGTATTTACAGGCTTAATTGCCGTGAATTGTGATAAGTAAATAAATAAATAAATAAACATAAATAGCTCCTTAACAACCTCATTAAACTTTTCTTTTAGGGGTTTACCAAAACTTGATTGTGACGTTCACATTCCATCGTCGCATGGGTTTTTACTTCATTCAGTTCTACATCCCATGCATTGTGATGGTTTCTCTAAGCTGGATCTCGTTCTGGATGGATCGATATTACATCGGGGAACGACTCTCCCTCGGGATCACGACCATTCTTACGATCGTTTTCCTATTGGGTTCGAGTAACTCGACCATGCCCCGTGTCAGTTACGCGAAAGCGATCGACTGGTATCTCCTTGGTTCATTTATCTTTGTGTTCTCTACGCTTGTCACAGATTTACTTGTCTATAGGTTCCGATCTAAAGAAGAACAAAGGAAAATGGACGCTGGCAAAGAAGCGAAGGTAGGTCGTGAGTAGATGAATATTCTTCCTGCCCGACATGTCTGGGAAACTGTCATACTTTGAGGCGTTTGATAATCGAGCCCCATAAAGCAAACAACCCTGTAGAACAAGGTTGGGTTCCCTTTTTTGCTTCATTCCTTCGATTCTTCCTTCTTTCCAATCATCCTTTTCCTTCCTTCCTCTCTCCAGTCATCCTTCTCCTTCCTTCCCCTCTCTAGCCATCCTTCTCCTTCCTTCCTCTCTCCAGTCATCCTTCTCCTTCCTTCCTCTCTCCAGTCATCCTTCTCCTTCCTTCCTCTCTCCAGTCATCCTTCTCCTTCCTTCCTCTCTCCAGTCATCCTTCTCCTTCCTTCCTCTCTCCAGCCATCCTTCTCCTTCCTTCCTCTCTCCAGCCATCCTTCTCCTTCCTTCCTCTCTCCAGCCATCCTTCTCCTTCCTTCCTCTCTCCAGTCATCCTTCTCCTTCCTTCCTCTCTCCAGTCATCCTTCTCCTTCCTTCCTCTCTCCAGCCATCCTTCTCCTTCCTTCCTCTCTCCAGTCATCCTTCTCCTTCCTTCCTCTCTCCAGTCATCCTTCTCCTTCCTTCCTCTCTCCAGTCATCCTTCTCCTTCCTTCCTCTCTCCAGCCATCCTTCTCCTTCCTTCCTCTCTCCAGCCATCCTTCTCCTTCCTTCCTCTCTCCAGTCATCCTTCTTCAACTTTATTTCAGTGTCAATGCGTTTAGCTATAATATTAGCTAGCAAGAAACATTAACTAAACTAAAGTAAAATTCTAAAATTTAATCTCCTTACCACTCCTTGAGTCTGTTTTAAGCCAATCTAAACAACAGAGTGGTAACAATTATAAAAAATGTTTCCAAAGCAATTCGAGTGCACTGATATTTAATTTATCTTCTTTAAGCCTCAGAACAACAAAGTAGTGTTCCAATGTAAACATGGTTGCCAACCAAACTTCGTCGCAGATGCTAATGGCCACATTCATCTGGTGAGCCAGCCAGAGAATTCGAACCGCGCGGAACAGAAAGCGCAATGTACTGAAGGGCTGAGAACGTGTTGTGTTGCATGCTACCAGCCTAGAGACACGAAAACCGACCTCAGCGTTGTGACCAACAAGTGCTGTCGGTATATGTTTCCTATATCGTTTGCTGTTTTCAACTTGGTGTACTGGTTGGCTTTTAGTACTTGAAAAATCAAGTCAGTTTGGTGTCCCCTTGGAGAAAGAAGTACAGAACTTGAGGTCAGCTGAACATCGTTGTGATATTTTAGCCTATGAGGCAGAAAATCATGCAATGTTTGTGAAGCTTTAGACACAACTCGGAGAGCAGACGGTCTGAGAATATACTGCGCTCTGAAAACACCGTTCACTGCATATAGTGGAAAGATGTATCATCAGACTAATGATAATTTGTGACATGGATATTGTTTACAAGGAGGTTCATGCGTTTATTCACTCTCCCCGCTTGTTAGTATGTAAATATACCCGCTAATGCTTATGTATTTTGGAGTTGTTCATTGAAAAAGCCTTGGTAGGTAGTTAAGGTTTTCTAATGGGTAATTAAGTGAAGGATAGCAAATTGTAATGTAATTAATAAACAATCAGCGTTTAAAACAATTTTCAGTGGAGTGTCCTTAGTAATCCGTGATTCCATTTGTTTTGCTCCATTTCGCTCAGTGATTGGTCCAGACTCGCGCCGCTTCTAAACTAATGAGAAGCAAAACTAAAACCAGACGCGCTTTAGTCGCCCACGTTTACCAGCGCTGCAGGCAGTTTGCATAGTTTTTAATTTGAGTTTTCAATGGCTTTTTAAGGGTATACTCGCGCTTTAAGAAGTTTCGTTAATTGTTTTGAAGGTATTTTTCCGTCTTCTGATTACCCATTGCAATTATTTATGTTTTGGTTGTACGACACCCAATCGAAAAGCACTTTATAGTCTAAAGTTGAGGTGACATAAACACTTGCATTAAAAGATCTAGTGATATTACACAAAATTACTTATCATTTTTTGATTCGTTAGTATATTCATGTCATTAAATGCATGGCGACATTCGCGCTACCGAAGGGCTAGCGCTTAAACGTCACATGCACGCCGCACGAAGTATTTCAATTATGCGAACGTCACCGTGTTTTCGCATGTTTTCCACTTCCTACTCTGTTGGCAACCACTGATCCCTCTTTCGTGCCAATTGAAAACCATGTGAAAAAAGTACTTCCCCCCTCCCCTCACCGGCGATAAAGAATGAATGATCGTAATATTTATGGATCCCTTCATCTTGAAGGTAAGGCCGCTCGATTTCCGCCGCTCACTGATGTCCGGTCTTTGCTCCTCCCCGAGAAGAGTGGGTTCGGAGCGCTGGCTCATATTCCCGAACAGAAGCTGGTAATCGAGCCTGGGTTTTCCCGCTAAAACTCAAAATCTGACGGGGAAGCAATTGCGTAACTGAAACACGACAAGAACGTTAACTCAGATACTAAACACTCGCACAAATTATGATGGCAAATAGCGAAAACATTTTGCTCATCTTGTAAGTTTTTTAATCACAAACTTCAAAAGAAAAATGACAACAAGAACAACTTCGTGGGAGGAACTGGAAACAAAAAGGGGTAACATTCAATGAAGGAAAATTAGATATTTTTGTAATTTCAGAATAGTTTCTTACTTTTTACAAAAAGTTTATTTTCAATGTTTTCTCTAATTATTATAATTTTTTGTTTTCATTTATATATATATATTTTTTTTGTGGCGGCTTTACAGTTTTCCATCCCTATCCACATTTAGCCAACCGCAGTTTCTGAATTTTTTTCTTAAACATTCTGATAAAAATGATCTTTTGAGGGTGTTTGTCCCTCCAGTTTTGCACACAAAGTTTTCATTGAGAATAAAACGGTTAAATTCTCATGCTTTTTATAAGTAATTTTCGATGTCTTTTTTTTTCTTTTTTTCTATTTCTCGTTTTTCTTGTGTAAAGGTTTCATTCATTTAAGCTGACTGAAAGGAATCAAAACAATATCAAAACAAAAGAAACGGAAAAGTTTCAGTTTCAATTACAAACATTGAAAAAATATATTGTTCTTCTTTTTATCCAAAGCTAAAAATATTTTAACAAGAAGCACTGATAGTAAGTTTCGCGATCTGAAGTTTCGTAAAACAGTCATGGCTTCTTATGCCGTCAAAAGTGTTTTAACAGGTGCGACAAACAATTTATATATGAAAAAATAAACATCAAAGCTCCTCTCGATTAAGCCAATAATTAAACTTCCGTTTCCGGAAGTCTATTAAAGTTGTCAACGTCGACCAAATCGATCCTGATCTCAGGGCACTTTCTGTAAACGTTAAAGATGAGAAAAAGGAGTTAAATTACATCATATGATGAGGCGAGCCCTAAAGGCTAAGCAAACGCGAGGGAAGGAGTGAAAAAAGAGAAACCATGGTAATTTTTCTCTCGCGCTCCTCCTCTCGCGCGTTTCTCGCCTCGCGCAAGTAAAAAGTCAATTGTTATTATTTGCATGTCTTTACCTTGGTCGACTTGGTAGGTTATGGCGTTCGGCCACAGTATTAAGAACATTAACATTAGGACTCACTGCTTTCCTCAATCGCTATAAAAACACAAAAGTGGAAAACAGTTTTAAAATCTAGCGCATAACTACAAGACCTCGCTCAAAGGTGTAGCTAAGATTTGTTTTAAGGGTGGAAGGTGAGGAGCACAGTCCCAAATTCCTGAGCACCATTCGTTAGTAACTCATACCGCTGCTCTTCCTTGCATATCACTGGGCTCACATTCCAGTTGCTAATGGACTGGGTACAAAAGTCACATGCTAATTCCGTTAATCCGACAGTAAATCTTTCATACCTCTCTAAATGATCCCTTTGGATGGAAAATTGCATAGAGAGCAAAGATAGGAATGGCCAGAAAAGACGATAAAGCCAGCAGCCATGCTACAGCTTGTGCCCAGTCGGGGTACATGTATCCATTGTACGTGATTTTCTTCCACTGGGTGATGCTTCCCAGAAATATAAACTGTTTTATGAAATACGACATACGATAAGTAACATGACATGTTTATCGGAGAGGGGAGGGGGTGGGCTAGTACAGGGGTTGATTTGGCGGAGGAGTGATAACTTTGGGATTGGTCATTCGCGTTTACCGGAAGCTTGAAATTGTCATGCATCTTCACTTTGAATTCTGATTGGTTACTGGTGATTTTGAACTGTATGCTGATTGGTCAAGTGATAACTTTCAGTCACTTTCAGACACTAAATTCGAAAGCTCTCCATCAGATTTTCATGGTATGAACTAAGGACTCGATCTGTGTACGGATGAACGGAGCAAGACATATGTATCACAAATGCATAATCTTACCGTTGCAACAAGAGGTGTGACGTATTTCCAGCAGATGACAAAATACTTGCTGGGTTTCTTTCCAATCATATCTTTGATGTTATCAGAGAATTTATCAACTCCTGTAAAAAGAATAAAAGGTGTAAAAATTTAGCCCCTCAAAATCGTCATTAAAATTAGTGAAAATGTTTTAAATCATTGTTGCTCTACTGAGAATACTCACCATATCCCCAACTGACGGCAACAGCTTCGAGAACAACCACACAAATCAAAGAAATGCCTCCACTTTGGCTGTCGAATATGTTTAGGACATAGATTCCTCCCTGACAGAAAATAAAAAAGAAATTAAATTCTACAAAAACTCTCGAAAGATGATCTCTGCTAAATAAGTTCTTTTTTTTAGTCGTTTTAAATCAATAACGAATTCTCACGATCTTCAAATAAACACACCATTTACCTTTTTTACATTAAATTGTTATTATACATCCAACTCCCTATTTCTTTTCTGATTGGCCGAAAGCGCACAGTAAATTTTTCGAAATTAGCGCCTGGGACGTCATCTAGTTATAGATTATACAATAATCATATCAAGGGCACTCACAGTCACGGGTAATCATGTCACATATGACCGCAGAGCATGATTTTTAGGGGGTAATCATGTCAAGTTCGCGCGCTTTGTGTTCCTTTCTGGTTTGCATATTTTTACACGTTTGGAAATTAATTATCAGTTCTACTTACTTTTTTCATTCAGTGTGTATCCGCACCAACCGCACCAACCGCACCAACCGCACCAACCGCACCAACCGCACTCAACCGCACCAACCGCACCAACCGCACCAACCGCACTAACCGCACTAACCGCACCAACCGCAAACCGCACCAACCGCACCAACCGCACCAACCGCACCAACCGCACCAACCGCACCAACCGCACCAACCGCACCAACCGCACCAACCGCACCAACCGCACCAACCGCACCAACCGCACCAACCGCACCAACCGCACCAACCGCACCAACCGCACCAACCGCACCAACCGCACCAACCGCACCAACCGCACCAACCGCACCAACCGCACCAACCGCACCAACCGCACCAACCGCACCAACCGCACCAACCGCACCAACCGCACTCAACCGCACCAACCGCACTAACCGCAAACCGCACCAACCGCACCAACCGCAACCGCACCAACCGCACCAACCGCACCAACCGCACCAACCGCACCAACCGCACCAACCGCATTCAACCGCACCAACCGCATTCAACCGCACTAACCGCACCAACCGCACTAACCGCACCAACCGCACCAACCGCACCAACCGCACTAACCGCACCAACCGCACTCAACCGCACCAACCGCATTCAACCGCACCAACCGCACCAACCGCACCAACCGCATTCAACCGCACCAACCGCATCAACCGCACCAACCGCACCAACCGCACCAACCGCACCGCACAACCGCACTAACCGCACTAACCGCACCAACCGCACCAACCGCACCAACCGCACCAACCGCACCAACCGCACTAACAAACCGCACCAACCGCACTCAACCGCACCAACCGCACTAACCGCACCAACCGCACCAACCGCATTCAAACCGCAAACCGCACTAACCGCACTAACCGCACCAACCGCATCCAACCGCACCAACCGCATTCAACCGTACCAACCGTATTCAACCGTATTCAACCGTACTCAACCGTATTCAACCGTACAACCGT